AAGCATTACAATGCAATGTATTGTAGGACAGTTATACTTTTATTTAAAAGCAAAATTAATTAGCTTGCAATTAAAGAACTTCACTCGACACTCCAATTTTCTTCGGGAAGTTTCGCATATATCCATATCAGTCTTTCAATAAAAAAAAATCAACAAAAGTAACTGTTCTTTGACGAAAACTTAGCTCTAAGTACTGTTATCAGAATATATTCTGTTTATTCTTCCTGGTGCGTATCTGCATCACTCTCAAAATTTACACTCAGTCAAACACGAGATTTCTCTCTTTTTCAATCTTAGCTTAAATTTCCATTCAAAGGAATTTCTCTGTTGTTGTTGTTGCAGGCCCGTAGAACGCGGGGGGGGGGGGGGGCACTTTTTTCTGAGTATAGTATTTTGCTATAGTAAATTTTCCTTTATATGCTGGTCCCCCCCTTTTTTGACGCTGTAAGGTCTAGCACGGACACATTGCGGGATTTGGATAGTAAATTAGCTTTTTTTTCGCTTGTCAGACATTTTTGGGAAGTTCCCCCTCCACTTTTGAACCCGTTATTATGGTTATCATATCATTTTAGGAAAAGTAATACAGTGCAGGTACCTAGGGTAAGAACTACTAAACATGGCCTACACTCCTTTAGATATGCAGGAGCCAAACTCTGGAATGAACTCCCAGAAGACATTAGAAATGCAGCTACAATAAATCAGTTTAAAAGTCTTATTAATAACTGGAATGGAGATTCCTGTAAATGTGGCTCCTGCAGATCTTAAATATTTAGTTTTAAATTCAGTTCTTTTATAGATTTTAAGTTTTCAATTTTCTGTTTCTTATGTTTAGTATGTTTATTCCTTTTAATGAGTTAATTTACTATAAAATTATGAAATTATAAAGTTTAACTTTTAATCCAGCGAAAGTGCTATCTCATATTTTATATAAATTTAATTATAGACTACCCTTTTTAGTGTATAAGTGCTACTTTGACTTTTCAATCATATTTATTTCTATTTATGTATCTTTCTATGTATTGTCCTATATGTAAATGCATGCTATATGTGTTGTTGTTGTGTCTTTGTGTGTGTAAATTATGTCTGTTGTGCTGCATGCCATTGAAATTTTAACTATGTTTATATGTGTATATTGTCATTTATGTATTTTATGTATATGTCTTACTAATCTTGTCGGTCAAAAGCTCTATAGAGCTCATGTTATTTGTTAAAAAAATCCGACTTTAAATAAAAATTTCTGATTCTGATCTGATGTGTTGCCTATAATGTTTTGTAAAACGTTTAAAAAGAATTATCTGAATGTCTGGAACAGAATGCATATCATAAGTCTCTGTTGTTATTGTTGCCTATAATTTGTTGTAAAACTATAATTTTCAGGTTAGTCTTTTTCTGTAGAGAAGTTTTCTGGACCTTTGATGTATGGCCTTATAATTTAATACTTTTTCACTCTTCCCTGTGGCCGATTCTCTTTAGAAGAAATTTTTATCGCCATATGGAGGGGGGCAAAAGTCATACTAGTATTCTTTTTGACAGAAAAAAAAAAAAAAAAAAAAAAAAAAAAAAAAAAAAAAAAACTTGCACGCCAAGACAATACAAATCAGGTCAGAAAATTATAAAGCTGTTTTATTACAATTTTAATTGCTGCATTGCTATGTTGTATAACTCATCTTCATCCCCCAGTGTTATAGTCCAAAAAAAAAAAAACAAAAAACAAAAAACAAAACGAATTGAAATCTTCACGGCTACCCGCATTTGCAAATATTGGCATCAGCCCCTCGTCCTTCGAATTTTATATTATAACATATTCTGCTGTGGTCATTCTTTCAACAGAGGTCATTTTCTTATACTGGTGACACATGTAGGAAACTGACGTCTGTGATTCTTTTTTTTCTCCTACAAATAAACACATTTTTTTCTACTGCTGGTGGTCAATTTCCTATGTTGAAAAATGGCCTTGACTGTGTCATTACTCTAAGAGGGTCATTATTCGTCTTTACACTGGCCGGTGTTACAATTGAATTTTTGCTTTTCGGTTACGACAGGTCACTGAAAATTGACGATTTGCCTGCATTAGTACCCAGTAACGGTACAAGTATTGTCCTTGAAGGAACAGAATAATGACACAATTGTTTTGTAAAAGTATTAAAAGTTCCACAAAGCCTCCTAAAAGGAATTTATCATTGTTTGTATTGTTCACGATTTAAACACGCGTTTCAGAATTTTTTTTTTACTTTAAATCATTGATCAATGGATTTTTTAAAATTGGAGTTTAAGGGTTTGGGTGTGTTGTTCATTCAATTGACATGTGTTTTTTTTTAATCTATATTTTAATGATTACTTAATTATTGAAAAAAAAAATTATAATCATTGATGAAAGATAATAATGAAAATAATGGTAAATTAATACATTCATGATTTACAGTATTATTCAAATAATGCACTTTGTCAACACACTCATAGCAAATAGTAATACACGTGTACACATGATATAATATAATAATAATATGAAGTATACTCGTTCTTTTTGAAGAAATAAATTACATTTCATTTTTTTTTTAAATATTTGCATGTCCCTAATTTTTATTCACCCCGTCGTTGCATGTGTAAGAGTAGAGTTAAATTAACATTTAAATTATTAACTTGATACTAAGAATTAATGTACTTGACTGAATGAATTTATTTTATACATTCGTCTTAGTTTATATGTCAAGGAATCGCTGGAGTCGATTTGCAACTTTTCAGTCGGTATTTCATTGAAATTTTATACTGCATAGAAAGACTTGAAGTAGATTAAAACATGTACGTTTTAATCAATCGGTGTTTGTATGTATGTTTCACCAATTTAAAAAAAAATGTACATGTATATTCAAAACCGCATTTCGATATTTTTTCCCTTTAGATAATTGCACCCAAGATTCACAATATCGCACCCAGGATTCACAATATTAAATTGCCAAAAAAGGAACACTTTTCGCCGACTTTCTGTTTAAAATAAAATATATAAACTGCTAAATAAAACGGCAGATAGTAGACACTAGTTGATAAATTCTGTAGCAGAAGATGAGGGATGCACTACCCTGAACATTTTTAAGCGTGTAGAACTGATTATGCGTTTGTCTTGTTACCCAGCCTCTGAATTTCTCATTTGAATAAAACATCATAAAATGATGCGCTGTCACAGCAACTGTATGTCTGACACTTTTACTTTTTTCAAACTTCAAACAGGAAGACTCGTTTGTTTCACACCAACTCTTTGACGTGGGCCATGTTGGACGTATATAGTTTCAAAATTCAATTTATTTTTAAAAACTTTAAAAAAAATTCTGAACATTTAAATAGCAGGCTGTTTATTGAAAATGATTCATAAGCCCTTCACCAAAGTATGAATTTTTTGTCTCCAAATGAAAATGCATTATATACATGTATATAAGAATCTTAACCGCTGAGCTTCATGTAACGTGATAATGTACGATGAGTTTACTATAGAACTGTCCCCTACAGAAATTTAGAACTGTTCAATTTAAATTTGTATAAAGTTGGTCTTGGCTTGAACATTCATAATACCCAAGTGATTGTCAAAATTAAGTTTTTGGCCTCTTATTATGATACATATCCCTCTAATTCTGAGGGTATTTCAGAAGTAGAAATCTACAGTTACACAGTCGGTCTGTATATGCTTATCATAATTACATGTAATTAAGGTAATCCGATCCTCAGGTTCTGAAAATCAGCAGTTAAGTTATTGAAAATACTCACAAAAATGTTATCTATTTCAAAAAGTAATGTGTATTTACCCATGATATTTCTTCAAAGTTCATCATTATGCATGTAGTTAATCATATTATATAGCGAAAATTATCAAATCTCAAATATATTTTCAGGAAATGCAAACGAAAGCACCAGCTAAGCAATTTTTCATTGTTAATTGATCAACAAATTTATTTAAGAATAAAAAATTATAGGTATCCAGGTATATCAAGAAAATTGCGTGTTCATAAAAAATTTTCATTTCTAATTTCATAACATGATTAACAAGCTTTGGTAACTTTTATAGGGTACAAAATTTTCCAATACAGTTTTTTTTAGACTTCAAAGAACCTTGAATCATATTGAGTTGCATGCATGAAGTAAAAATACCCTTCCTGGCTGAGGAGCGAAATATCCTTAATTACCAGTGTGTCTAGTTATTTTGAATGTTTTAAATTTCTCGGAAAAATAATTACGAAAAAATGCGTTTCTCTTTAGCATTCATGATTTTTATAATAATTTTTATACACACAAAAGGATACAGTAATCTTTCACCTTGATTCACTTTACCTCTATAATTTTCAGGCACCCGAACACCCCCCCCCTCCCCGAAAAACACACACACACAAAACAAACAAAAAAAGAGGAAGGCTAAACCTTACAAATTTCATCAAATCATTGTAAGGAAAGGGTGTCGTTAAAAATTTCGCAGATAGATTGGTGTGGGCACCATGTAGAACTGTTAGAGAGATCAATGGACCGTGCATTTTTCTTGGCCCGGAATAGATAGACCTTTCTCCCAGGATCTTTGTAAAACTGCAGTATGCTAGAATTAAGTGCGGTCAACTCTACGTTTTAATTATTAAATAAAAAAATGTACACTTTATAAATATCAATGGATAGAGGTAGTAGAGAAAATATAAATTTTTATAAGCTGTTATAACGGGACCTCTTTTAGCAAAATTAAACCAAACTCCAAACCACCGAACTAAAGAAGTAACAAAAGGCCTGAGCATTGTACATGTTTATTTCTGTTAAATAATGTTTAAAACAACTGTGAAGAGAACAAGAGATTACATTTCTTAGTGCATGTAGTATACTTACAAATTGATTCTTTTTGAAAAGGAATATCAATCCTGCTGATTAAATGAGTACTCCTTGGAACGCCTAATGTTTCGAAATATTTGAATTTATAGAATTATTATTTTAACTCTGCGATTTTGTCTCGATTTTCTCGAGCTCATTATCTGGCACGAAGAATCGAAGAGAAGTCTTTTGAGTTATAGAATTAAGTAAGTAATTTGAGCCCTGTATCTGTGGGCCGACATCAAGGAAGAAAAAAATCCAAACAAAAGATCTGAAGCAAATATACTGTCTTTGTTTCCAAAAGTTGTTTAAAAAATTACATTAGTTTGTACAAACTCTATTTCATTTGACAGAAGGATTTCTTTAATAAAATGGTGTAACATCCCCTGCATTCCTGAATCTAGCTGTCTTAGGTCTTTGTGCCGCCATTATCTTCTTCTGTAAGAGTTTTTTTACGTCTGACTTCTGCCTTCTCCTGTTTTTCTCTGAGAAGCTTGTCTCTTTCATCTGTCATTAAAAACATAATAACGTTGAGTTTATTACAATTTCAATACTATTACGGTAAGAGAGAGAGAGAGAGAGAGAGAGAGAGAGAGAGAGAGATTACTAGATTACCTTTCCACTTTTCATACTCTTCGTCATAGACGACTCTGGTTGTGGACCTTAATTTGATAGGTGGCAACCTTGGAATCGTTGATTTGAATTCAATGTTGAACGACATCCCATCCTTTGCCTTCACAACATCAGACATCTTGCTTTCTTTGACAGTGTCGACATCCTTACTTCTAGTTGGAGACGTGCAGAACATTTGCCATGGAAGGGGCTTGTTTCGGAGTTTCTCTTCCAGAGCCTCACTTTGAACTTCTTTCTTAATTTTCTTGTAGGCATCCATTTCCTCATCTGAAATAACACCTATTTTATTACTTCTCTTTCTCAGGCAGCTTTGGATTAGTCCCATTCTGTCTGACAAAGAATGAATGCAACTCTGGTGTAGTTATTGTGACGTTATTGGAACTATGACGTCATTTGATTGTGACATTTTTAAAAAGTGGGTATTTAAAATAAAAATCGAGCACGAATACTGTTCGTGGACTTTCATATTAAGCTAATATATAAAATTTTATGAACTATTTGATTATTTTGCAAGTGCATCATCGAATTTTATTGTGTAGAATTGCAATCTCTCCCCAAAAAGACCCCATCGAAAATAAAACCTTTCAGCATAGTGAATTTTAAATATACATGTAGTTCTGTAATACTGTGCACGCAGATTCACATCCAAGACAATGGACATACTGATTTGAACTTAACTGGGTTCTGTTTATCACAAACTTACGGAAGCGTAATAGGGCCGCAGCAGTATCTTTTATTAATTTGTTTTAACAAATTACTAATTTGTTATAACAAATTATCAATTTGTTATAATAAATTATCAATTTGTTAAAACAGATTACTAATTTGTTATAACAAATTACTAATTTGTTATAACAAATTATCAATTTGTTATAACAAATTATTAATCTGTTATAACAAATTACTAATTTGTTATAACAAATTATCAATTTGTTATAACAAATTATCAATTTGTTAAAACAGATTACTAATTTGTTATAACAGATTACTAATTTGTTATAACAACTTACTAATTTGTTATAACAAATTATCAATTTGTTATTACAAATTATTTATTTGTTATATCAAATTAGTAATCTGTTATAACAAATTACTAATTTGATATAACAAATTACTAATTTGATATAACAAATTATCAATTTGATATAACAAATTAGTAATTTGTTATAACAAATTAGTAATCTGTTATAACAAAATAATAATTTGATATAACAAATTATTAATTTGATATAACAAATTATTAATTTGATAAAACAAATTAGTAATTTGTTATAACAAATTAGTAATTTGTTATAACAAATTAGTAATTTGTTATAACAAATTACTAATTTGATTTAAAAAATTATTATTTTTTACAAAATATGAAGGTGAATACAGATCTATGGAAGCCAGATCAGATCAGATCAGAAATCTTATTTTAAATCGGTTTTATGAACACGTTAAGCATAAGCTTTGGAGAGCTTTTGATCAATATGTTAATGTGGATTTAGATGAATTAGCAACTTAGATTAAAGCACTTTAATTTTTGTTTAATTGCAGGTTTTTTTTAAAAAATTTTGTTTTGTTTTGTTGTTGTTTGTTTGTTGTTTGTTTTGTTTTTGTTTTTTTGAGTCAGTTCCTTGGAATAGATTTCTCTGTTAGACAATTAAAGGAATAGCTGCATCCCAGGGATTATGTAGAAGAAATACAGAATGTTGGATCCTTCGAGAAAAATTCGAAGTTCCGGACAATTAAATATGACTTCAACGTCGTCCATTCAAATCAACACTTTTTTCAATGTCAACACAGGGTTCAAAAGGGGAGAAGATCTATTTTTTCCTTCTTTACACATGTTTAATATTTGTGTGTATTGTTATAACAAATTATATTGCTTAACCATTTCTTGTAAAATATATGAGTAGTCCTATATGAGACAACCAGGATACAAATTACAAATGAATTTGAAGAAACAACTGTCAAAGTTTTCAGCCAATAATAAGTTATGAAGGCTTTAGTGGGACTTCGAGGGCTTTTCCAAAAGGCACGTATTTTGATTATAAAAATTACATACATACATGAAAAAATTTCACAAGGTATCTAAATTCAAATTTAAGAAGTACTACCCACTCAAGAATATTGTTTATTTTCGTTTTCAGAAAAGGTTATTACAGAGTGTTTATCAATTTTTCTATGATAATTTATCTACAAATTCATTTTTTATCAATGTTGCCTTTATTGCCCCCAGCATAAATTGGGGCCAAGGAGGTTCAACAGAGGAGCAGATTCAGGTTTATGCATTAGGAACGGCGGTTTAGTTTAAAATATATTTTATTCATGATACATAAACTGGATTGAACAGTAGGCATAAATCATTTGGTACATGTATAGAATGAATCGAGAGAGAGAGGGAGGGGGGGGGGGGTAAAATGAAATAAAATAAAAGACATATTGAAAAAAAAAACATATTATAATGAACATGTTGATTCAGGGTGGAAAAAATTCCCTCTCCAAATAACATGTCTTTGATAAGATATTTTTTCCTAGCATACGAACGGGGATGCAATGACCTGGTAAATGGGAGTCAAGGACGGAGCCCTGGTGGGGGAGGAGGACAAAATTCAAATAGAGCTCCTAAGAATAAGTAAATAGGAACCAAAAAATTTGATGCATTGTATCTTTATAACAATAATGTTTGACAGTGAAAACTCTAAATGCTAAAAGATGTAAATCCAGATTAACATATTGGTCAAAAGCTGTAGCTGCAGAGCTTGTACATTTATTATTTTCACAAATCCAACTTATAAAAAGATTTCTGATCTCATCTGGCTTCCATAGATCTGTATACACTTTCACTTTATCAAAATTTTTAATTTGTTATAACAAATTACCAATTTGTTATAACAAATTAATAATTTGTTATAACAAATTATTAATTTGTTATAACAAATTATTAATTTGTTATATCAAATTGATAATTTGTTATATCAAATTAGTAATCTGTTATAACAAATTAGTAATCTGTTATAACAAATTAGTAATTTGTTTTAACAAATTAGTAATTTGTTTTAACAAATTGATAATTTGTTTTAACAAATTAGTAATTTGTTATAACAAATTAGTAATCTGTTATAACAAATTAATAATTTGTTATAACAAGTTGATAATTTGTTATAACAAATTGATAATTTGTTATAACAAATTAGTAATTTGTTTTAACAAATTACTAATTTGTTTTAACAAATTGATAATTTGTTATAACAAATTGATAATTTGTTATAACAAATTGATAATTTGTTATAACAAATTAGTAATTTGTTATAACAAATTACTAATTTGTTAAAACAAATTAATAAAAGATACTGCTGCGGCCCTAATACGCTTCCGTACAAACTGCATGTATAGTATGCCAACAAAACTGACGTGACCTACATGGTCACCATGTGTCATGTTTTGCACATTGAATTGAAAATCATTTTGATTATTATAACGGGAATTTTAATGTACTTGTAGATTTCAAACTCACTTAAAAACGGAGAAGGAAAAAAAAGATTGATATAATCACACGACAATACTTAAAGCATTAATTTCCTGGGGGTGCAGAAGTACAAGCTCTCGTGGATTTTTAATTATTACTGTATATTTTCTGCCAAAGTGGAAATCAAGGACAGAGTATGTAACTAAACAGACTGCTAAATGTACTTGTAACTTTGTCACCGAGGATATTCATATTTGTACAAAGTCTCTACACATAAGCAGCTGACTACTACATGTGCTTGTGATCGATATTTGAAGCAGATCTGGTCAGATACAGCAGGTAAGAAAACTGTTAAAGATTTTCAAGTTTTTTAAATTTAGATATTGAAAATAAGCTAAAATTTATTTGGAACCTCTGTAAACAGTGTTAAAATAGTTTGATCTTCTTAAATTATGACCATGGAAAGGAAATTTTGTAACATCAACTCCCCTAATCTCTATTGAGATTCTGCTGGGCTAGATATTTGGACTGACGCCCACAGTGGGCGTCAGTCCAAATATCTAGCCCAGCAGAATCTCAATAGAGATTACAACTCCCCCACAAAATAAGATTACGCTTTTGGCCCCTCCCGAGTTTTTTTTTTGGGGGGGGAGGGGGGGGGGTCGTTTGCCAGAAAAGTTGCTAATGTAAGAAACATGTTAATGACCATAATCTGTGCATCCGTCACCTTCCGGATTCTTTTGTTCCGTCCGTTCTTGGCTTTCTACTTTTTTGAAATGTAAAATTTCCTGTTTGAGAACTGAACGAACAGACTAATTTTTGCTAAGCTTGCATCAGTTATGAAATTATCATTCATCTACTGGAGGTCATAACTGCTGTTGACGACATGTCAGTGAGATAGGTAAGATAATTTCAGCACAAAATTTTTAAGATTTAGCCATCACCCTTGGCGGAGGTACTTTCAATAGCATATCAAATTGCAGTTTCTTTTTCTCCTTCGAAAAATATACAACTTTTTTGTTTCAGAGATTTAGTATTTTCCTCAACTTTTGACTAAAAAAATCCAATTTTCACCGAAACTAATTACGTAAAATGACTTGAATCAACTGATGCCCAACAAATATGTTAACCTTGAAAAATAATGCGCATGGCTGACTTGGCAGGTGCACACGTCCAAAATAAAAAAAAGTGTTATTGAGTGCTGATATAAAAATCCCAATTCTTGTTACAGCTTTCCCTGTTTACAACCCAGGCACTTGTTTCCGTAATTTTTTTTTACTCCATTGTATATATATATATATATATATATATATATATATATATATATATATATATATATATATATATATATATATATATATATATATAAAGTATTTAACTCCAAATTACAAAGAGTACACCCTCCCCAGAGTTACAGACATTTATGCTATCAGAGAGTAATCAGTGGAAAAGTGTTGGCTGACATTCTTCTACAATAATTTATCTACAAAATTATGTATGGCATGCTTGTCTTTATTTTCTTTTATCTCTGTAAACAGTGTCCAAACATTGCTCTTTTGTACCAGTCTCTTGCAGAATTATCTATTTGTATTTTGATTGGCTAAAAGCCTGTTTCTAAAATTACACTGGGAAAATACCATAAATTATTTATGGAACGAACATTATATTCATTTATTGCAATATTTAAATATTGATATTGAATTTTTGAATTTGCTGTCTGCCCAAGACTAGTACATGTATAGCACTTTGTGGTATGAAACCAGCTTTCAAGTGAGCAAAGTTTGGAGGTTGTTTATGCAGATAGAAGTTAATAAATGCAAGCATGCCATACATTATTTTGTAGATGAATTATCATAGGAAAAAAAGGTAATGAACTGTTTCCCACTTTGTTTTCTCTGAAAAGTAAATGACTGCAATTCTGGGGGGGGGGGGGGGGGTTCTGTACTCCATGTCATTTAAGTTTATAGATACTTTGTGTTATAATATACCATGTGTTCAAAAACAAGTGCCTCTGATTCACAATTGTGGGTACCATCTGCATATGATAGAATTGCTGGACAGGTTTGTTTTTTATCCCAATAATAGGCACAACCCATCCAGTTAGTAGATTTGTTGAATTGTCTTCGAAATTTTGTAAAGTTGGATTTAAGATACTATCAAATTCTCCATTTAATTGACTCCAAGTCTTGTTTTGATATGTGCCTAAAAATACAATGTTGGTGTATATTAATCTTTCAATGAAATGGCATGTAGTTATCATATCCTATGCACTATGGAAGTCTTGTTATTTGAAGCACATATCCTTTATGGTTTATAATGTAAATATGATTATTTTCCAATTCTCAAAAAGTTTACATTTCAGGTACAATACTGTGAAATCATTTTAATTTGGGGGATCCAATGTTCATGGGCAAGGAAAATTTTACTGGTTTATGGGGATGTAATTTTGTTGGTAAACTCATTTAAACAGAACATTCAGTATGTCGACAATTATTGTTAGTGGGTATTAAAAATTGTCAGTATTGGTGACCCACAAAATCCTAGAACATTGGCCCCTTATGAATAGTGATGAGTCCACATTACTTAAAGTTCTCCCAAATAAAACATATGTTATGCAGTATAATGTACTTGGTTAACTATACACCTTTTTTTAGGAAAATGAAAAGAATGGTCTCAGAGCTGAATATCTCAAAGGGTATTCAACTCTACCTGCCTGAGTTTTGACAAAATATGTGGAGGAACCTGTTTAGGGCCTCCATGAAGAGGGGCATCAAAGGCGTATTTCAAGTCTGGTGTGCTGGTTGTGGAATTATGCTGTTTGCAAACAGAGTAGCATGGAGCATTAATGTAAATTGAATTTTCTTTTCAAGTTTCGTGCCTTTGAAATCAAGAACGTGGAGTAAACATGCATTACATTATACATATATTTTAACTGTGTCCACATATTGCTGGTAATAACTATTGATTTGTTTGAGACATGGACTTCTTTTTGTGGTCAAAGTGAAGACTTCATGTTAAATGAAGGTCGTACTGAAAGATTAAGGTTATATTTGAATTTGCCATATTCTGGCATTACACTTCTTGTTTATTACAAAGTGTACACATAAATTAGTATATTTTTTGAAACAAAGGTCATCATTAAAACAAATATCATTAAAAGACAAATAAATCCGTAATTATCTTATTACTTTACTTATTTATTTTTTTATTGATTACAGCTGACAGGGGATTCTATGTATCCAACAATTCACTCCAATGATAAAGCATTTATTGAATACATGAGTGTTTCTAATCAGAGATTACAAAAGTAAGAAATAGTCTTGCGCTTTTGTTGCCTCTAGCCTTTATTTACTGGTTTGGTTTATCAAATTATTTTAGATTTAGAAAGGAAGAATAATTGATATACTTTAATCAAACATTAAAACACATTTATATAGATGAACATTTTGTGTAATGTGATTATAATATTATGTCATACACAAATATCAAGTATTAAATGTATGTTTTTTAATCTAAGTAATGTCTTGTGTGATATGTATGGACACAAATATTTCTATAATACTTAGTGATGGCATTTGATATTAAATTAATTCTTGTATATAATAAATACCAGGTAGAAGAATCTTTAAATATTCTGTAAACTTTTACACTGAGGTCAAATGCACTATCCACTCACTTTTGGAGAAAAATTGTAATACATGTATCAATATTGTTTCATTGTAGAGGTGACATAGTTATTTGTAAGAAGCCCTACAACCCCACTAGTTTAGTATGTAAGAGACTGATAGGCATGGAACATGACAGAATCATTAAAGAAGATGGACAAGTGGTTAAGGTATACTGTAAAACACACACTTATAGCAAAATGTCAATGGCAAACAATTGTGATTTGTTATTATCTTATTCATTATATCCTATAAGTTCATAACATGTTGTAGAACTACTGGGAATGAAAATTAATTTGCTGTATTAACAGGAATTCATTATCATAGGTGTATTCGATGTAGCCATACATGTACATGTAGAATAAACCTCATTGCACCAAGCAAACAAAGCTTGCATGTGGAATCCATTTTCAGAAGCTTGAAATCAAATAAGTCAGACAGACATTAGAGAAAAACGATTTTATTAAAAGTATCACAAAAAATATTTATCAAGCTTTATCAAGGTGTTTATCATGATATGTAATATGTTTATGGGTGGAGTCATTTCTTGATACATGAATTCATCCAATTTACATACTATCTGCAGGTACCTAAAGGCCATGTGTGGTTAGAGGGAGATAATAAAGAGGATTCAGAAGACTCTAGGGATTATGGTCCTGTTCCATATGGATTGTTGGAGTCCAGGGTTTTCTATAGGGTAAGCTATCATTCCTATGGATTTTGTTGGAATCCAGGGTTTTCTAGAGGGTATTAAAGCTATTATTATTATTATACCCCCGCTCCGAAGGAGAGGGGGGTATACTGTTTTTACCCTTATGTGTCTGTCTGTCCGTGTGTCTGTCTGTCTGTCCGTAACAAATTTTTCATCATAGTTTATTCAGCAACTACTCATTGCAGATGCTTGAAATTTTAGCACACACTTTGTTGAGGCATGCCATATGGTGGGATTAATTTTTGTACGAATCCGATGTCAACTTCCTGTTTATCCATGCGTCTGTCTGTACCATACATAACAAATTTTTGGTCACAGTTTTCGCAGCAACTACTGATTGCAGATGCTTGAAATTTTAGCACATTCTTTGTTGAGGCATGTCATACGGTTGGATTAATTTTTGTACGAATCCGATGTCAACTTCCTGTTTATCTGTGTGTCTGTCCATACCATATATAACAAATTTTGGTCACAGTTTTCTCAGCAACTACTGATTGCAGATGCTTGACATTTTAGCACACTCTTTGTTTAGGCATGTCATATGGTGGGAATCATTTTTGTACAAATCCGATGTCAACTTCCTGTTTATCTGTGTGTCTGTCCATACCATACAGAACAAATTTTGGTCGCAGTTTTCTCAGCAACTACTAATTGCAAATGCTTGAAATTTTAGCACACTTTTTGTTTAGGCATGCCATGTGGTTGCATTCATTTTTGTACAAATCTGAAGTCAACTTCTTGTTCATCCTTGTGTTTGTCCATAACTGAACTTGTGTACATTCACATCAAAGCTGGGGTATTACTAGTGAGCATTGGCTCACAGACTTCTTGTTTGGGTTTTTGTTGAGAGTTCAGGTTTTCCTATAGGGAAGGCTATCATTCCTAGGGGTTTATTTTAGGAATGACTCCAATTCTTGGCCAAATTATTCGAGTATACCTGGTTTGGGTCAGTTTACGCTTTATAATCTGCGAAGCGGATTATAAAACAGCGTAAACTGACCCAAACCAGGTTATACTTGAATAATTTGGCCAAGAATTAGAGTCATTCCTTATAATTTAATTCTAAAATCATTAAATAACTAAGGGTGTAAAATTTCGTTGCTTTTTATTAGTTCAAATTTGCCGCTCAATAATACAACCGTAGTAACGGAAGTAACGGGAAGCGAGGGGAGGTAAAAACTGATGCATAGGCCTAGCAGCAGCCTTGTTGTTTGTTTACATGTGGCAAGATCGAATTATTGTTAAGTTAAAGGTACATTTATTAAATCTGGAATTTTCCATGAATCCCGAGGACTGGAATTTAGAGGATTGTATGGATACAGATGATTCAGCTGGTTGTCAGGGGGGTGTGTCCCCATACCAAACCAGGTTATACAGAAATAATTTGTGTTCCTTTTTGGATATTAACCAGAGGCTAGAATACAAACAAAATTAAATCATATATATATATAGGACCTCCTACGGTTTGTGGTTGGATAGGATTCTGATCCAACGAGTTGTGTGTTTTCTAGCTGCAGAACTGTAGCGTTATGGTTTTATATTTTTGTCTTTGACCATAATGCTACAGATCCCATAATGTAAATAAAGTGCAATTTACTTCGCAAGATTTTCTGCGCACTTTGAGGATGTAATTCCCCACTTTCCAGCATTGGTCAATCAACGACCTTTCATCCACTAATTCTAGACATATTCTATAACCAGCCTGTATACATGTATTTTATCCACCTCCTTACCCTTTATAATTGTCTCTACAGACCAATAAACTCGCTTGTTGTGAATTTGTTGTCGTATCGGATAAAATTCACAACAAGCGAGTTTATTGGTCTGTAGAGATGACTATGAAGGGTAAGGAGGTGGATAAAATATACAGGTTGGTTATAGAATATGTCTAAAATTAGTGAATGAAAGGCCGTTGATTGATCAACGCTGGGAAGTGGCGAAATACATCCCCAAAGTGCACAGAAAATCTTGTGCTGTAAATTGCACTTCATTTACATTACAGGATCTGTAGCGTTATGGTCAAAGACTAAAATATAAAACCATATCTCTACAGTTCTGCAGCTATGTGTTTTTCTATCCCTGAGCCTTGGTGAGGGGATAGAAAACACATAAATTGGATAAATATCATATCCAACCACAAATCATTGGAGATTCTTTTTATCACAAGTTTTACACATAGCTACATGTTTTATACTGCTTTTGTATATAAATCTACTTTATTTGTCAAACCATTTGATGTCACAAACTGTTGATAAGAAAACCATATCATATGACTGAAATCCACTGTATATCAGTTATATGATATAGGAGTAAACATGTATATATACATGTAGAAGAATCCTTCAGAAATTTGATCCTTTACCTTAACATGTCCAGCCTATGTATAAAGACTGATGACTATCAACAACAGAGGAAGGGGCATAAATATATATATATATAGATATAGTTATATATATATATATAATTAGCTGTTGGATGTTTATAGGTGAAGGATCAAATTTCTGCAGGTTTTCTACTACATTTACATATATATTAACTGTTGGATGTTTAGGTGAATGATCAAATTTCCAGGTGTTTCTACTACAGATACATACCAGGGTATACATCTACTGTTGCTTCCTATTTTTGTTGTAGTGGTGGCCTCTCCAACGAAGGGGGTTTCTAGAACTTCCAGGTGAAGTGGAGATCAAAGAGACGAGAAGGAAACCTATTTTATTTTCTGGCAGTAGCTGAACAGCTAACTTTTATGTGACTTTTAAGTTTCTTAAAGATAGATATAAGCTATCAATTTTAAACATAAGCACATTCATACTGTGAAAATTATTTTTATACATTTATTAATGATATGCTTTAAAATAGCTGGGCAACTCCATTCTTCTGTCTCTAATAATTATTGAAGACTGCGGAACATGAACTGGCAAGATTGGAAATATGCAGCTTACGTCATTTCTATCTGTTCCAGTCAAAACATTTGAAGATAGACAATGAAATAGGCGGGTTCAATTCGACACGGACGTCTGTAAAATTGTGCTTACGAGTGTAGCTGAGGTGAATTGAAAATGAATTTTAAACTAGAATTTCAATCCAATGTTTTCTCAGATGTCCATGTCAAATTGTACCTGCCCATTTCATTGTCTATCATTAAATGTTTTGACTGTAACAGATGGAAATGACATAAGCTGCATATATCCAATCTTGCCAGTTAATGTTCTGCAGTCTTAACAAGCATTTTTGGACAATTAAGAATATTTGACAATTAAGAACGTCAGCATTTAGGCATTATATTTATCTAGTTATTACCTATGATTTGTGTGTTCATTTTTACATCACAATTTTGTCTTTGAAATAGAATGTAATGTTATTTGTGATGTACAATTATTTTTTATGAAGGCATTCTTGTATAACGTGTGTATGACAGTGCTTATCATGTTCAACACATAATGTGTCATACCTTATGAATATTTTATTATGAGAAGAATAAAACATTCAGTATACAGATATTGAATTTTTCTTAGTATTCTGTTCTGCAGTGCTTAAGAGCATGTTACACATACATGAACATGCTGTCACAGAAGTGGTTCAAGAATAAGGTGAACTTTGGTAGAGTTGTACAGTAAATCACACTTAAAGCGAACACACTTATAATGAATAGACCCTTACAGCGAAGTGATTTTCATTCCCCGTGACTTTAAAATATATTATGAACTTAGTGGATATAATGAATTTCACTTATAACAAAGCAAAATCGGCCATCCCTGGCACTTTGTTTGTAAGCGTGTTTTACTGTATTATTTTATTTGGTTGTTCTTTTGTTTTTCTGCAAAATAGGGCTTTTTAATGAGGTACAGTGTATTTTTGAAAAATAAATCATTAAGTACTTAGATTGCAATAAGGCTAACCCCAGCAGCCATGATTTGAACATACTTGAATCTACACCTTTGCCAAAGACCCCATCCTATCTCCTGAGGATCATAATTTGAACAAAATGAATCTTCACTATATAATGAAGCTTTCATGTAAGCTTCATCCTTTCTGGCCAGTTGTTCTTGAGAAGAAAATTTTTAAATGATGCCATTAAAGCAATATGAGCTGCGTTTTTGAGCATTTTATTTTGCTGTTAATATGTGCTATTATGATAAATCTGTATGTAATTTAAACGTTTATGATCAATTAGACTAAAATAAAGTATTAATTTTTTTTCAGAAGAAAGATTTCTGTACAATAGAATGTATAGTATTATATAAGAAATCAGGATGACTATAATGTCATTTTGCTTCAATTAAAGAAAAGCTTTTAAATAGTTCTTCCTTCACAAAATGAACAACAGAAGTTTATAAATGTTTTTTTCTGGCATTGAAATAGTTAATTACAATATTGCAACAAAAATCTCCAACATCAAAGTTGCAGCTCATATTGCTTTAAATTTTCACCAATTCTTCATGATCTCCCCGTGAATGAGGGTGTGACCATTCAATTGAATAAACATGAATCCTCTTCACCCAAGGATGCTTTAATTGTGACAAGTTTGGTTGAAATTAGCCCAGTGGTTCTGGGAAGAAGTTGAAAATATGGAGTTTACAGACAACACAAAACACAACTGACAGACAGACAGATGCTGGGCAATCTTCAATCAGAAAAGCTCATTTGAGCCTTTGGCTCAGGTGAGCTAACTACATTCTTTAAGAAAATGAAAATACTGACAGATTTGCACTTTCTTTTTGGCTCAGGTGAGATGAAAGTACTGACACTGACACTCCTTCCATATTTATTAAAAATTGCATTAATTTACATGTACACTATTGTCACTTCACTATATAAATGACTATATTTGCCACACTATATGCATACGTCAGACCACAAGCACATAGATATTTATGACTTGGCCAGAACTCAAGTTAGGCAAGAAGAAATGATATTTGCATTAAAACACTGCAGCAAAATTCAAGTCAGAGAAGACATTGATAGCACTTAATATCACAGGCCTGTGCTTTGAAATAAATTAAAGGCAGGGTAAAAATGTTAACTTAACTGAGTATCACTTTAACTAAGTACAATGTCCATCTTTCTATTAAATGCACAAATGTAATATATGTATGATCATCCAAATTTCAATGTTTAAATGACTTAAGAGTTTTCTAACTTCTATTTGTACTCAATAAACATACATTTTCTCTCTTTTAGGATTTCTTTGAACTTTCAAAATTTCTTTGAATTTGAAACCTTTAAAAGTTGCAATGGTTACATTCTCTGTTATTTGTTTTTAAAATCTGAATAAAATTGTATCAAAACTTACAATAATATTTCAAATACACTAAAAAAAATAAATATAATACACAATGGCAGTCTTAAACTAAAACCCTAATTACAATATATTCAATTTAATAAAGTCCTCTTTTCAGAAATATAAAGCTTCTGTACCGGTAGTTGATTGTAAGGGACAGTGAGTTATGATTTGTTTCCTTTTTCTCTGACATTGCTACAATAGTGTATATATTAACATCTCTTATTACTGGAAGCAGTAACGGTTTATGATAAGGATTTAAACACCCCAAGTTTCTAACACTTGAAGCATTCTATAGCCAACGTGTAGATATCCATGTTTAGTGAAGTTCTAAAATTAAACTTAACAAGTAAAGAGAAAACTTGATAAAAATTTGAGGTAAAACTTGGATTGTCTGTTTCAAATGAACAGCATAACAAAGAGGAAGCAGAATTAAAAAACAAACTGTCAATTATAAATAGAAGTTGGAATGTTGTTAAAACATAAATACAATGTATGCACTTACAGTACAAGGGTAAGACTTTTTTAACAATATTCGTTTATATTGCTGCATTGGTAGATGGTTAATAAAATGTTTAACAGTGAGTTTCATAATACACATAACTGACAAGTCACCATAAGCTACAGCAAGTTAAAACTTGGAATACAATTTAAAGGTAAAAATATACTCGATTATAATGGATAATACTGAATTATCTGGATACATGTACTTTGTAAAAGAATTCTCTGAGTAGCCATAATATTTGTTCAAACATTGCAACGCTTGAGACACTTTAAATGGACATATACATACTAATACCTTACCCCATTGACAACCAATTTCAAAATAAAATATCTTTTAGAGTTCAGGTTTTAACCTTAAGGATTTTTTCTTCCACATAAAAAGACAATCTAACTGAAATGTTAAAAAAAAATTTCCATTAAAAAACTTTCCTCTGTATTGCTGTATTGGGAAATACAGTGTTGACTAGAACAAAATAAAATGACTATATGTTTGGCTTAGGACACTTCCTCAAATTCTGTCGGAATAATTTCCATTTCAACCCCAAAAGCAGCTTCCCAGGGTTCACGAATTGAGTCCAACAATGACCTTGTACTAATGCTGGTTTCCATGGCAATGAACCATTGAGCCTCTTCTTGAGATTCTTCATTAAAGAAATTAATCTTCACTTTAGCACCGGTTGACTGACATACCTCCTAAAAAATGAAGAAAAAAAATTACCATGACATAAAAACTAGTGATGCCTAAAAACAATTATGCACATTTGCTGTAACATAAAGACAAATGATTATTTATACATGTATTTATTCCCTAGCTCCAGTAGTCATTTACATAAGCAAAATGCAGTTAATAGCAAAACAGTTAAACATGTAAGTAGCCAATTCTTCATTCAAATTTACGGACAATAAAAAAATGCTATGTTTTTATTTTAACATCTTCAGTTATTAAACCACTCTCTTATATCAAAATCTTTCCCATCTTTGATTGAAGACCATGTGAGATAGGCCAAGGAATAAGCCTAAATTTTCAGTTTCTTGTCAACTTACCACAGAAGCAATGTTGTTAATTTTCTGTCTGTCCAGGAGAACAAACTGTTGTCCTTTGATGTGTTCAGGTAAAGCTGACTGTAACCTTGGTAATGGCCACTGATGATTTTCTACGACTAGAGAGATATACATTTCTGTCACAGCCAGACCCACAGATCTGGTGTCATCTGTGTTTTCTGTTGTAATAAAGAAGTTAACATATAGATGCATTTAAATGTGTAAATAAAAAATCCGATCATTTATGCCTTACATTGAATGTTGTTATCCTTGAGTTTGATGCATGGATTTTGTTCACGGCTATGCATAACTACACGTATGTCACAGTAGGTGAGAGATCAAGGAATTGACTACTTCATGTGACATTTGAATTAATTTCTGCTTGTATAAATTTTGAAGAAAAACTCAAAACATAAAATCGCCAATTTTTAATCCGCAAAAATTATAACTCTTGCAAGGTATAAGTAAATGCCTCAAAATGTATAAGGCATTGTACTTTATGGATTAAAAAAGAAATAACCTTGGTAACTTTACAACACTCTCAACTTAAATATCTAACTAACTTACCTGTGATAAATGTTCCAGACAGGTATCTAACTAGGTCAAACTTGTTGTCATCCTCGGTGAGGTTGTGTTTGAACTTCCACCAGACCGTGTCCTGTAGATTACAAAGTGTGTCAGCGTTAAACTTACTTATCCCCTCCAGTTTACTCTCCTCACTGAAAGCTGTATCCTGGATAATTTCTGTAAGACATTAACAAAATAAATTCATCAGCAGAAAGAAGCTGTGGATAATTTCCATAATGATAAAGCTAACATACAGTAACCATACTTTTTTCCTCGAGGTCAATTCCACAGAATCATAATTTCTATTCAATCCATGGGTAGAAGATTATGCAGATTTTTAGATAACACTTTATGCCTTTAATGTACTTTAAATAGGATGGGACAAATTTCCATGCCAAAACTGTGAGCATGTGCATAGCATAAATTAATACCACACAGAAATACGTACTTCTGCAGAATTTTCATCTTCATAAATATTTATGAAAAACTATCAAATATCTGGCAAAACTGCTACATCTTTAAGTCCAAACTTCAAGGCCTAGGAGAAATTTGCAGACAGACAAACAAACAAACAGAACTGAATCTCACTCTTATCATGTAAATTTTATTTTTCAGGCCTTCAATACTGTCTTTTTAAAAATTCCTCAAAGCTATAAAAGTATGGTAATACCAAATTTCAAAATCTGGCAATTGTTTCTGAAACTATTTCTATACATGCACCTTATCCTTACCATCATATTACACATTTCATCAGACAAAAGCTATTCTAAGCCCGTGAACAGATGACATACCTGTAACCAAACTGATGAATGATTTACATCTCTCTTCATCTCTGATCAGGAAGCTGTAGCTGGAACACATTGTATCAAACTCCAGTCTGACGCTCTGATAACCTAGTCCGATGTCAATATAACACAACTCAGTGATTGGCTGATTCTCAATGCAGGACAATCCATCAGTATTCTCCCTATGTTGTCAAAATGTGCACATGAATCAAAATGTATTTTACTATATTCTGATAAACATTTTAACCCTACATGGTAAAATACATTAATTATCAATGAAAGAATTAGTACTCTTGACTGTCCATGCATTTTGAGTTTATCAACATCAAAATATGAACTCTTTATTTTCTTCTTCAGGACTATATGGAGTATTGTGGATCAGTCTGTTGCATTATGGATTACTTAGAGTCTAACAACAAGATTAATCTGACAGAGAAAATAAACACACCATTCCTATGTCTTGTAATTCTTACCCTGTGTCTGGATCTGAGATTTCAATGATTAGGATTCTGCTGGTTGAGAAGATGAGATAGGATTGGAACTCAGAAGATCTCATGTACTGGACAGTAGAACACTGTAAATAGCCAAATCATCAACTGAAATCAACACTGTAAATAGCCAAAACACCAACTGAAATCAACACTGTAAACAGCCAAATCACCCACTGAAATCAACACTGTAAATAGCCAAAACACCAACTGAAATCAACACTGTAAATAGCCAAAACACCAACTGAAATCAACACTGTAAATAGCCAAATCACCCACAGAAATCAACACTGTAAATAGCCAAATCACCAACTGAAATCAACACTGTAAATAGCTAAATCACCAACTGAAATCAACACTGTAAATAGCCAAAACACCAACTGAAATCAACACTGTAAATAGCCAAATCACCAACTGAGGTCTACCTTCATATATTTGGTCTATTGTAAAATGTTCATAGGATATTACATGTATTAAGCATTTGATCATGGCATATATATTATTGAAATCAGCCCTTTTGCAAAATTATCTTTGCACAATAATTACATGCATAGTAGCTTATTGATGAACCAAACCTTAATATATTAAGCATAATTAAAAGAGTCCATGAAACAAAATGCCTATAATCCCATGGGACCTGATAACCCAAATACCTGATCCTCAAACATTGCAAGAAATACATGTAGTTTATAGAAAACAACTGTATTATGTACATTTCTAGATAAATTCATATGTAAATTGAAGACTTGAAATTCAAAGGTTTTATAGCAAGGGTGATTTAATTTCATAGAGTACTTAAGCTCATCTAGGGAACAGAATGAGAACCTAACACAGATAGACACACAGAGTGAGAAAACTTTTAGAGAACCAATAGGAACAAAACAATATGCCAAAATTGTACATTCAAAATTTAGGAGATTTTGTACTATAAACATGATAAACAATATCGCTCAGTAATGAATTAGCACAAATGGGAATTGCATCATTAGAAATCATGTGTATAGAGTATAGACATATATTAGAAGTGAGGAAGCTAAACCAGGCAAGCATGAGATTACTGCTAAAATAAAAACATTTACAGTATCCCAATGTTTTAAGGTAAAATGTTCTCTTTACTTACTTGTATACAAAACTGCACACTCTCAGATTCCTCAAAAACATTCATATCTAAGTACAGCTGTAACTTGTGATCAACAACACTCAAGTCAACATGGTGCAGATTGTCCAGGTTTTTCAACCAATCATAACCAGATTCATTCATCACTGCAGAACTGTCTGCTTCATCAACTCCATTCAACACTGCCCCCACCTTCTGGGTTATACTGTCTTGGGTGCTATTTTGATCACAAGTTTCGTAACTAGAACTATTGTCAACTGATTCTTCCTCGGTCTTAAACTGGGAATAAATACTTGTATCTCCATTGTTGTTTTCTCGATCTGAACACTCATTCATCACAGTCTGACTTGTATCCTTTTGTGGAGAATATTCCTGATTGTCAATATTAATGGACAAAGAATTTTCATACATACTAGATACCATGCTAGAACAAATACTATTGGACAGTGGTGACCCCACAGGGGTCATGTCCTCTTCCTCAATGATTCCATTCAAATTCAAACTCCTAGGAACTGCTACATTGCCATTTTCACCTTTATCTTGCTTTTGTGGAGTTGATGTCACAAAATAACTATTGTCACCATTTTGGGGTGGTTCAGATATTGTTTCAACACTTGATTCGGATATCACAGATATGCTAGCATCACTCGGATTGGTTATCAATGAGATATCACTGTCTACAGAATTTCGACTTTTTCGCTGACTCTGTTCGGAAGACTTTACATCTGACCATGAATTGATAAGATTTGCGCTCTCCTCTTCCTTTTGTTTTTCACTAAGAGCTTTCCCTGTGGAATTAGATCTGGTTATCTCTGGAGTTGTCAGTATTTTTCCAATGTCTGAATGTGACATGACATCACTGAATGCATAGGTCCTAGGCCTGGTCAAACTTCCTGAAAGAGAAAAAAAAAATTCAATCAGAATATCATTCCATGTTATTTATATGTACATAACATTAATTTAGCATAATTCCTTATACTATATACTGTATGTAGTACTATAAACAATGAAAATGGAAAATAGAAAAATTTTCTGACTCTTAAGTTTTCACTTACCTGAAAGTTCTGATTCATCTTTTTTCCTGGTGAAAGAAAAACATAAATCATGTGAATTTTTACATGCATTTGTAAAGTAAATCCACATTCATACAGAAATATAATCAAAGTTAGACAAGCTTAGGGTAAAAGTGGACAAATTTATATACACAGTTTAAACAATCATTCACTGTTACCCCCCCCCCCCCCCCTCGCTAAAAATATAAGAAAATATATTACCCCTCCTGTTTCATGTCATCTCCATTGCTGGAGGGTTGAGCCCCCTGGGAAACAGGAACCTCATTTTTCTCCTCCTGGGCCACCTCCATCATCATCTTACTCCCACAGTGAGGACACTGGTATCTCACCCCTAGAATTATAAGTGAAAGTATAAATAGGATAATGAGTACTTATTTACTGCAGCAATTTGTGCTGTTTGAATATAGAGTGAAAGGCTGAATATATACATTTAAAAAATGTCATTTTTCATATCAATTCATTCCAATGATATACCTGGTTCTGCAGTTTTGTCTTTCTTGTCAAATACATGTTCTGAGATGTCCACATCCTGTTTACATACCTCTTTTGAACATTTCAAACACTGAAATGGAAGCAACATTTTAAAGATATATTGTATTAAATTATGAAGCTTTGACCTAGAAGTTTGTCTTTTGTTTTGTTTACAGAATCAGTTTTCTTTTTGAAAGCTTACATCAATATACAGTGGCGCCTCGTTAATCTAGACGCCTCCGTCCCCAACGAAATCGTCCGGATAAATGAATCGTCCAGATAAGTGAATCACTTCTAAAAAGACCCTTTTAAAGCATGTATAGTGGTATAATGTGAAGGCAAAGAAAAAACCTTCATTTTACCTTGATTTATTGATTTTATTTTTGTAGTTTTAAAAGAAATAATTAATATCTATAAAAGAAAAAAAAAATAAAATGTAATTTATTTACTACACGATGAAAAATGGATAAGCAATTTTATGTCCATACTTCCTTTTTTAACACAGGAAAATTTACTAGCCTTTTATTTGATGTCTGGTTACATGGGCTGACCAAATTTTGATCTGCTACTGTTTTATTTCGGCACATTTTTTGTTTAGGGTTTATTCAAGCTCATATTAGGTAAAACTGTTCATTATCACCATTGAGAATGTTCAAATGACTAACCGCATATATTTTCTACATAGGAAAGTAAGTAACTGAACACTGTCATCAGTGTACGTATTGTACACATTCAACATAAACACAAGCCATATTCAGGATTTTCATATTTTTTTCTATAAACTCTTAAGTTATATACCTTGAAAAAACATGATCGGCATTTATAACTAACGCCAGTTACGTATTTCTTAGTGCATTAAATAGAAAGATATTTTCTTGAACTATGTATCCTTATAAATTGTCTTATGAAAAGAAAAAAAAAATGTTTCAAATAATGTACGCTTTGAGAAATGGAAAATTGTATTTTGATAAACTTATGCAACTCAATACCACAACGAAATCTCGTGATTTACATGTATTATTCATTTCATTTACATCTCTCCAAAATTCTCATAAATTTATACATGGTAGCAATTAATTCTATACTGAATGGATTTATTTTTAATTAATGCGCAGTATAAGCTTAATTCTTCGAGTTTATAGTATTTATTATTTGAGGTTAACAGTTTTAACACACGCTAATTATAGACGCTATTGTTTGGAGGTCACAGGTAACCGCCTTCAAACTGATTCCACGAACAATGCTTTTACAACAATTGTCACTACTGCAAGAAAGGTGTGAAAAAGTCGCTCCTCCAAAAATTACCGTCCGGATAAACGAGTCATTTTTCAATGAAATATTACGTTTTGTAGTAGAAATTGACCGTCCGGATCTGGAACACGCATTTCCGGATTAATGAGACAGAATAACGTGGAAAATATCGGTTCCCAAAAAATATCGTCCGGAAGGTGAAGCGTCCGGATTACCGCGGCGCCACTGTATACCCAGTACATATGTACCTGTAAAAGATTTTTCTTTCTATTCTCTGCCTCTTTAGCTTCAACAATTGGTCTTAGTAGTTCCTCAAATTCCTATGAATAAATTAGAAATATTGAACATCACAGATTCATATACATTGTACAATGATGGCTGAAAAATGCATTTTTCAATACTCCTCAGATACTCCTCTTATAATGTATATGATTTCCTGTTAAGTTCACTATATTTAACTAAAAACCCAGCAAAAAATGTTGATTAGAAACATGCAAGTTTAATATTAAATACTGTTACATGTATATAGTAATTTAGAATTAAGAATTGACAAAAAAAGAGCATTCTTGACTAACATTGGCTGCTGCAGTGTTCTCCATTATAAAGACTCTTTCACGCCTGTCTTTCTTCATGTAATCAAACTTAGCCCTGAACACAGGGACTTTTTCATCAACTAAATTTGCATGAGTCACATCTTCCACTTCAATCTGTAAATTTAATCCAAAATTTGTACAGCCTTTAACATAAGCCAAGTTTGCATTCTGATATCTTGTGCATTTACAAAATAGTTTTATTCACAAATATTTTTCTCTCTTTCTAAAACATTTTTCATTCAGGTTTTTGCCAATCTAAACCACTGACGTCTACTTTAGACAAGTTTTACCCCCTATAAGATAAGATTTATTGATCCCAATTTGGGGCCCCTCAGGGCATACAAGTAAAGAATTATATACACAAGAAGAAATTCAAAATTGATAGTAACAACATGTCGATATTAAGAGAAAAGAAAAGAAACTAACTAAAGAAGATGATGATGATTATAGCAGATGGGGATTACCAATAATAAATGCTTTAAAAAATATATATATATACATATATATAATTAGCAAACGTACAAAGATTTGTAACATGTATATGTGTACTAGAGTATTAATAATTTAATATTATTACTCTTTTGCATTTATTTGGTTCTTTTTAACATTATATAATTCACTATTTCTTATTTTAAAAATATTGATTAGAAAATTACCCAACTTGATAAGCAATATATCATTCTCAATAGACATAATCCACAAAAATTTTTCTTTATTTGTTAAACAATAAATTTTTTTATTATTTTTAGCAATATTCTCAAAAAATTCATGTCTATCATGTTTATATAATGGACATTCAATCAGTGAGTGAATCTCATCTTCCACACAATTCATGTCGCACATTCTACAAATCCTTTCATTTCTTGCAAGGGTGGTTTGCTGTCCTTCTGTGTTTACATTTTTTTCATATCTTCCACTTTCAATTCTGAGATTATGTGCACTTATTCTAAATTTACATATAATTTTTCTTTGTTCAAAATTTTTTAAAAATAAATACTTTTCAATTTCAAAACTTCTTTTTACAAAGAAATATGTTGTATATTACATGTATAATTTTACAGTTTAGAGCATACTTGAATGTTTTAAGCCAAATTAATACCTTGAATGACAATAGACATCTGAGATCCAACATCTCCTTAATCTTCCCATCAATATCTTTTTCAATCAGGTAGCGCTGGTTGAGGGTTACAAGCAAAACTTTTAGATCAGCATCAGGTAACATTACAATAAATGGCTCGCATTCCTCCCCTGTCAAAAATTATGCAATTATTACTTTGTATCCTACGAAATTACTTGTATTAAATTTGTAATGGTTTTTATGCAAGCAATCATAGCACACTGGGATAGTGAAAAAACCTTGATTAATTTCTATCTACTCCTACTCTTGAAACTCAGTGATAGTGCATCCTACAAAAATCTTTCAAAGATAATACATGTACATGTATATGTATTCTCAATATTAATCATGACTCTATCAAATGTATTTATTGTCATATCCTATAAGGATATGAAACAGGTTTCCCTTTTTTTTGTTCAAGAATGATCAGTAACTCAAATGTCGGGCGAACTATCGCCACAAATCACATAAATTTACATATATAATACATGTATACATTGTAATACAGTTACATACAAAGAAATCAGCATCCCTAACACATTACCATAAAGAGCTAATTTTTCCTCGTCATCTCGATCCCACTCAGCTCCCTTTGAGCTGTTCATCCTGTTATAGTCCGGGCGTTCACTGGAAAGGGTGGAGAAATCTGAGGAGGTGGTCTTTATGATGGTGTCTGTAACAGAGACATCAATTATTACACTTAAAAGATGACACAAACAAACTTTCCATCGGAAGACTAAGAAGGCAACTACACGTACTAACACTTTGGACAAGAAAGGGAAATCTGAAATGTTTGTTGCCATGTACATGCATATATGGATTATTAAACAAGAAATTGGCAAAAGAAAATAACTGGCACTTATAATTTGATATATCAAAATTACAAAAAACATACATTATGCATATCAATCAAAGCCCAATGTATAATGCTTACCAGATCCATTGGATACATGTAAAACTTCAATATCATCCTCCATATCATCATCTCTATAATGAACATCTGCTGTGCTTTCATTCAAATAAATGTCATCTTCTGTGTGATAGGCTTGTTTTGAATTTGTTTTGTCTTGAATATGATTGGACTGTTTTTCATTATCAAGCACAGAAGTTAGTAAAGATGACTTTTGTTCATCATTCTCAATAACCTGTATACTGCCATCATACTCTTTGGCAGATATCACCTGCATAATACAAAGCACATTTGAAAAAAAGGCTAGTGCGAAGTAAATGTATATGATAGAGACATGTCTTTTTTATTCCATTCAGCAGGGAAGGGTGAGAAGCTATCTTTATTAGTCCAGTATTTCATCATGTACACATTGAATTATTTTCAGCAAAGAAAGAATGACAGTCAAATGTGCTGTGCCATATCATATGGTTTTTTTTTAGAGAATTTCCACAATACCTGTAGCCAGTTGACACCATAGTGATCTCTCAAGACTTCTATTTCTTCTCGAGTTGATGCCTGCCCCTCTACAATTCTAGTTGGTGATGGAACTGTAGGAAAGATTTCAAATTCATATGAATGCTACAATCAATTACAGTAAAACACATTTACAGTAAAGACATATAAAGCAAATTCATCCATAAGACAGTATTATTTCTACCCAGTACACAATAATAATGAGTCACCAATTAGATAAAGTGAATTACAGACACCACAAAACAATTTTAAATGTTTCTGGTGTTTTCACTCTAAATTGGTTTCACTGTATTATGACACTTCATCATAAAACTTTTTCTTTTGATCTAGTCTTAAATTCAAACAATGAACACAATTTTTTCTTTTGATCATCTTCAATGATGGATATTCCTAATGTGAGGACAACCCCCCACCCATCCCCAAAGCAAAACTCATAATTATATTCATTCTGACCTCTTGAACTCTCTGGAGAGGACTGATCTGTGGTTTCTGTCACCTCACTTCCTTCTGTGTCTGTCCTCTGATTTCTGCCTCGGAATTTCTTCTTTCTACTTTTCCTCCTGCTTGGGGACCCCACCAACACTGATTCTGCAATGTCATCTGTGTCATCAAACTTGTAACTCTGAGCCAGCCTTGGGTTATTTGTTGACTGTCTGGAGCTCCTTTCCTCTGGTTGTTTGTCTGTGGACAATTTTCCTGTGCTCTGAAGGTGCTGTGAAAGAAGTCACAATGCTTATTATACATGCAGTTAAAGTTATTAATTAACATCAGCAGAGATAATTTCTCTCCTTGAATACCAATTTAGATGGAAACTTAGTATTTACCATCAAATTCATTTGCTAAATTCTGTGTGGCTAACATCTAAATGGGTATAACTTTCAGATCATGAAATCATATCATTTAAAATCTTAAGATACATGTACATGCATATGTATAAGAATGGAATTTCTTGGAGAATTTGGTAATTTAAACAAGATTAAATATTACAATTAATTAATTTACACACATTGTGATATTTCTGTTACAATCAGTATCTTTTTCTGTTCTATTATGTACAAATGTATACATCATTACATGTGCATACCATGATTTCTGCTAGTTTAACTGGCTTGCCGTCCAGAATAACCTACAAATAACAAAATAGAATTTCATAGAATACGACAACATAATTATCTGTAACAATTGGGAACATGTATATTACCAACAACAACATCAGGGATGTAATAAAAGCTAAAGCGTGATCAACTGAGGAATTTGAATTTAACATACATGTATATGTTTGAATATAGAAATAATATTCAACTAAAAATATGACAAACACTACATGCCCTGCCTATGGCAGGGCATAAAAAATAACACATTTTTACAATATGTAGTAATCATAAATTCAGTAGCCCTAGAGTTACTTTGCTTTGCATAGTTTACATTATCTTGGTTAATACAAAATGTCACATGATCAAAAAAATTACAAAATCTACAACATGTACCTTAAAAGTAATGAACTTCACAAGATATGTAATCCAATTATCTTGGTGCTCAAAAGTACATTTTTGATTTAATAGTGAAAGGTACAACATACACATGTATTAGAGATCTTACTGAACTTTGTATTATACCTCTTTTGTAGTAATAGCTTTAGATGACATCTGATGAAGTGATCGGATTCTATGATGTTGATGATAACATAACGGGTTACCTTGGAGACTTATCTGAAATTCACAGATTTGTAAATTCATACAGGTAGAGTTCAAGTCGTAATGATATTTCAGTGTAGCATATATGATAGGTCAACAACAAATGTTGTGCTTATTATTTTTAAGATACACCTCTCATTCTGCTAACATTTACAATTATTTTGTATATCTGGGAAAAATTGTCATCATAAGAAAAGAATTTTTTTTAAAGCGGCTAATATCTAATGACAAAGAGCACTTGGAATCAAGCAGTATATAACCATAAGTATGGTTATATTTACCACATGAAGGGAGTGAAGCTTGTTGAAGACTCCCAGACAGGAGTGATCCACTAGACAGTTCTCTGAGGCATCTAACTCCTCCAGATTGACCAACATCTCAACTCCTGCCAATTAATACAAATATGATAGACTTATATTCATTTAAAACAGGATTATTATTACTGGTTCTTCTAACCAAGTGTAATATTTTACATGTGTATTGTCACTGTGGATTGACCTGACAGGGCATTGCTTATTCACTGCATTGTATCAGACCAGTCTAGAATCTGGTTTTGTTTTGCACATTAGATATTACACTAGTTACATTACATACAAAACTCTGATCCCATTATTCCCATTTCTTACTAACATAGTTCATTTTCAGTGGTCATGATCAGTTTGGCAATGACAGGTCAGTCTGTCCTGTCAGATCAATATACATGTACTTTTACAAAGGCAAACCATCAGACTGCTTATTGTTCCTGACTACTGTATACAGGAAAATTTTCGTCCCCATTTTATTTTCGCCCCTTTCGCCCTACTCACAGGTAAACAAATTTAAAACAGGGTGAATTCAAAGAACACAGTATAATTTCTTAAACAGAACTGTGACTGAGTGAATTTAAAATGGGGCAAAACTGCTTGCAAGTGTTACAGGGCGAAAATAAAATGGGGCAAAAATAACCCTGTATACAGTATCTTCTATAATCAGTAACAATTAGTAACACAAAGTTAAAGTGAAACCTCCCAAAGTGATTATTAAGACTGTTGTTCCTGGTTTTATGTTGTCAGTAACAATCAGTTACACTGTATTGCAGTACTTACTGGAGATAGTCCTGACAGTAGTTCCAGGCTGTACTGTATTATCAGTAAATTCAGAAACACTATGTCATAGAGAAAACTTGTAAGTCTTCCTGACTTTGGGTCTGGACTATACTGTATTTCCAGTAACAAATTACTAACACTTACCAGAAAGATTGTCTAGATTATTGTTTCTGATGACCAGGGTCTTTAGTTTACTTTGAACTGTGATGGAGAATGTTGGCACAGAATCCAGCATGTTGTATCCTAGGTTAATTCTTCTCAACTCTGTCAAGTACTGGGGAAAAATTATAGATTTTATTTGAATCAATGGAAAGGAACTGATATATACTTTCTCCACAAAATTTAAAAGTAAGAATATCTATAGTTACAAAACTAGCATGTATTATAAAAAACTGAAGACAAAGCATGTTTTTCCTGACATACATGACATTATGTCATGTTAAATTGTTGTGTCTTCTTTCATATTTACCATTCTACATAAATCTCGCATACCTCAAGGTAACTCTCCACTTTATCAATGTTGTTGTGACTAAGATCTAATATGTGTAAACCTGGCAAAAGTCTCTGAAAAAATAATAAAAACTCATTAAAAGGTTATGAATCACATACAGTATTGTTTTCTTCCATTAGTTTTTTTTCCATCAATTTCATTTTTGTTTTAAAGCACTTTTAAATTGCTTCTATTAAATACTACATAAAGTACACACTAAAGAAGCATCCAGCTTGGATATCCAGTTGTAGCTAAAGTAAGCAGCAGTTAGAAGCGGCCATGACATGGGGTTACTCTGGTCCCCACCACAAGTCTCCAGAAATTCCTGAGGGTAGAAAAGGATTAAAATATCTTATCACATGCATTTTCCTCATGTTCAGGGAAACTTTATATACAGGCATATTGCAACAGCAGCATTACACATCACAGGAATTAGAATCTAGCACAGAGGAAGTCTTTAATATTTAACTAAACTACACCTTAATTGCTCAATTTCTGATTCATAGTTAAGAATGTAACTTTGTATAGAAAGGGCAGCAATGCAGCACTTCCTTTTCAATTGTTTTGTTTGGGTCTTATACAAATGAATGAAAAGGGAAGAAATATACAACATTTTCTTTACCATTGTTTTGGGTCCAAAATCAAAATTTTAAAACATGTTGACAAGTACCTGTAGTGTGTGCAAACATCTGGTCACAGTTACAACATGGAGTTGTCCTCTTAGCTTGTGCAATCCCTCCAACATGTGAGTTGGAATCTTTTTCAGCTCCAGAACCTGAAGACTTTTAAATCTTGAAATTAAAATGGGACCTTGCATCGTAGCTGTTCCATGAGTTATCTGAAAATCCCACAATATAAAACCATTAACATGATCTAAATGAACACAAAATGCATAGAGGTTTCAAAAATTGTCCTATTTTTTTTACTAGTTTTTCAGGAACATGAGTTCCACAACATTTTTAAATTGTCAAAAGATATAAGGCTCATTGAGTCATTTCACCACAAAAACAAATGAGGAAATGAGATTTCTAGGTAAATCTTTCATTATACATGTATAATGAAATGTACATCATACAGAAAATGCAGAAATAAGAAAAAATCCATTCTTTTCAAAATAATAATAATACATGCCCCAGTTAACAAAATTATACATGATATTTCAATGCAGTTACATGTTGTGGTTTATGTACAATATTTCACCATTTATTCAATAAGCACTTGCTACTGCATTTTTTAACACTCTTTACTCACTTTCAGAGATGCAGTTTTTGTGATGAAATCATTCAGAAACTGAGCATTGGTCCTCCATCTATAGAACTGCTCCTGTTCATGGTTTGTCCTTTCTCGACTTCTACCTGACCCTCGTCTTGATCTCTCGACTTCTTTCTTTGCTTCAAAGTCATACTTGGTTTCACTGTATCTTCTAAATGCATTGTTTAATTGACCCAGTGATTGTGTCGTCAAACAAAATTGAGTGCTTCCATTCAGAATCTGTTCCCCTGTAAAGCAACCTATTATGTTCAAGTAAGAAAATAAATAAAAATCAAAGCTACAAAACAAACTGTCAAATGATTAACTTAATTACCACATAATATATGTAAAACACATGTACATCACTACATGTCCAAAACTCAGGATGGAAAATTTGTAATAAGAATTGAAATTATTAAATATACTTACCATTTTTACGCAAAAGGTTAGCTAAATCGTTGACAATGGCGAATTCCTTCGGACTCAATTTATCCATATTATGAAAGTCTCTCACATGTACATGTCCTGGTTTAGCCTCTGTCATACATTATGCATATTACTTTATTAAAGGGATCTACAGTTTCTCATTTCTGTGCATCATTTGTCTCATAATTGTAACATCTAAGACAATTAACAGCTTAGGGTTCAATCAAACTGCCACACACGCTTTCAAAGCAGGAAAAAAGCAAAAGTTAAATATTGTTGATAAACTTTACCCTCATGTGACAAAAATAGTTCGGAAGTGTCTATCGGCACGACGGTCGTGCCGATTATTTTCGTTATTCGCACGACGGTCGTGCTAATTACAGTTCTTATCCGCACGACACAAGAGAGATAACTCTATAGTACATTATATTCACTTTTCACCAAAAATTTAATAGTAAAAGAGATGCACCTAATACACATATGTAGAACTAATATTATTACATTCGGTTAAGTAAAATTTGCTTACGGTGAATTTTCTTCGTGAATCGTCGTGACACAGTATAATAAGAATTAATTTTTTATTCGTCCTTTATATCATCTCTTGAGTACATGTAACGTACTTCAGACGTTATTTTGATTGGAAATATAATATAATATATATATATATATATATATATATATATATATATATATATATATATATATATATATATATATATATATATATATATATATATATATATATATACAGCTATTTATTTTCAATAATTTTCTTTCGTTTTTATGGTGTTTATATTCTCTTTCCATAATTTTCCATTTTTCTGGATGGTGTTAATAATCTCTCTCCCTCTCTCTCTCTCTCTCTCCTTCCAGTATACTGTAGACGTATTTTTTTTTTTTATCTTGGGATTAATTGATAACGCTATATGTGAAAATTTATCACAGCGTACAAATTTAAAAATCTTTAAGACATGCAAAGGCAATCAAAAATTCAGATAATTTTATATCCGCGAATCGAACAGAGTTTGTGATTCCGTGGAATTGTGACCCCGTGGAAAAAATAACGTTTACATTACTTCACATAGCTATTATAAAATGATTAAAATATTCTGTCGAATTTCCCCTATTTATTTTATTTTAAAATAAATTTTATGTTAAACAGTACATAAATTAATTTCTAATATATTCATAGAGGATTTTTTTAAAAGTCAATTTATGCATTATTATATACTTTGATAGTGAACATATATAGTTTCATCTAAACGTTTTCTTATGTACGTTGATCAAACTTGTTTGGAGTTTTTCAAATATACAGGAACATTTAAATTCATTCAAAAATTCTTTAGAATTAATATGATACGATCGATATAATCCATGTCCATAAAAGAAAAGACACTGATTTTAATTTCAGAGTAGTAAATATAAATATTAAAAAAAAAAGCATGGGATAGATTCACATCTAGTCTACTTTATTGCAATACTGAGACCGTGATCTTGATTCCGATATAATAATTCACGAGTACATGTACATGTATAAGGCGCGGATCCAGGAATTTTTACCAAGGGGGGAGGGGGGGGTCCACCCCAGTCAAAAAAATTCAAATCCAGAAATTTCTTGACACGCAAAAAAACAATAAACAAAAAACAAAACGTAAACTCTTTTCCCAAACGTGAAAAACCTATTTCGAGGGGGGGGGGAGTAGTCATTGACATCTAAAGCTTTTCAGACCAACTAGGGGGTCCATGGTCACTTTTAGATGGTTTAGTATATACATTTTATAACTCTGCAAATTCCGGGGGGGGGGGATTCCTCTAGATCCGCGCATGTGTATCATAGGACGCAGACTACCAATTATTTTGCTATAATGTACTCTTTTATAACATTAATTTAAGGAATTTCACTGCCTCAACTCACCTGGAAAATCAGGAAAATTCGTAGTGTACAAGCCATGCTGTGACACTTCAAATAACCCCTACACTGCACATATTTCAAATTCCCTTAAAATTTGAGAAGCAAATAAAAAATTCTTTTTTATATTTTCCTAAAAGCAAAGATTCCAAGATTGTAATTTTTAAAAAATTCCAGACATTTTTATTTCCATCTAAAATCATCCCATTCCACCCCATACACATTCCAGAGGATTTTAAAGGAAGAAAACACTGTATTTTTTTAAATGGCACCACTTGCACAAAATGGGGCAAATTAACCATTGCAGTGTCGGACTGTCCAGAAAATGTTTTTCTAATATATATAAAACTGAAATTTGAGTGTCGTATTTCGAAAAAAGCCGTTGTTTTCTTTTTGAAAAATCGTAATCTTAATTATGCCGCGGCAAATACTTTGATTGAAATAGGAATTTCTGAAGAGTAAGGGATAAGTTCACTTTTTGTGTCCGTCTAATATGTTAAATTCGCTTTGAGTTTCTACACACAATAGCAAAACACCGAGTAAAAATTTATTTATATAAAATAAGTATATGCAAATATAAATAATATAAAGTTATAAACAAAAAAAAATATAAAATTGTTTCAAAGTTTGTCGTGCGAATAGCCTCCGTAATCGGCACGACCGTCGTGCGGATAACAACAGTAATTAGCACGACCGTCGTGCGGATAGCCTCGGCCAAATAGTTCAGGAAATGACGTCATGGAAAAAAGATTGATGAGGCTAAAATAAGTAAATTAAAAATTGGACGAACTCCATTATTTTTCGTCTCTGTCGAACATCTTAACTGTTTTTTATGATTTGAAGTTTTAATTTTCATCCAAAATTTACACTCATTTCAGATTGATTTTTAAGAGTTAGCATTTTTTTTCAAATGTCACCAGGATCTTAATGACTGTATGTTAGCAAGAGGTCCTGTTTCTACATCTGAATTTTTCTATTTATTTTATGTATCATACTACGTTTTTTTCTAAATGTAATATTATTATGTATTTTTTTTTACTATGACAAAATACTGCAAACAAGTGAATTACACAAATGCAAAATGTGATAAAATAAGTTAGAAGATTTGTCTATTGTCCTATTATGGAGTAAATAGTCTGCCTCCTACTTTCATTTTAATTTACGCATGCGTTGTTCATGTCAACACGCACCATGGAAGGGGAAACACAACCACCAAGGTAATGACAAACAAAATTTGACTTCAACACCTTTTGCGAATAGTTTATTGGATTAAGATTTATTTCAGAAAAGTTCTAATGTTGAATTAATGTATGGCTATGTACACACTGCTCAGTGTATTCAGAAAACAGTACAGGCATGAAGTGCATGCACAGAACAGAACAGAACAGAACAGAACATTTATTTTCTAATTTAGAGCCCATAACAGACAAGTATGAAATTATTACAATAATAAAGAAAAGATATGCCAATGGATAGTATAACAACTTGTAAATGACATTACTCATTTCAACAATAATATTGTACTATTTCAGTTAAAGGGAATACTATATATAAAACTGTATGACTACTACAACATGTTATCATTTATGAATTTGCCCACAGAATTAAGAGTTTCTTTGTCTTCAGTATTGAGTAACCAAAAAAGTTTTTGTTCATCATCTAATGCCGAGAAATTGGGAAATTTACTTTTAATTGATTGAAAAATTTCTTTTCTTTGATGATCATATTTTTTACATGTTATGAGAAAATGAGTTTCATCATCTACACTGTTAGAGTTACATCTATTGCATAATCGATCTTCACGAGGGATGTTGGTAAATCTTCCCACTTCAATTTGCAATCTGTGACAAGAAATTCTTAATTTACATAGAGATTTTCTGTGATGAAAATTTTTAACTACTGATAAATAATTCTCATAACCCCAATTTTGTTTGAGTTTTACATATGTGCTTAATTTACCATCAGTATAACTTTGTTGACTTGTATACCAATTTTTTATATAATAATCTAATATGGTTTTATGACAGAGTGACTTAAATTTATGCTTCCCATAACAAATTACTTCATCTTTGATATTCAGTATATTTCTTAATTTCTGTACAAATGCGAACCATGAGTTCTTTCCATGTACATAAAGATTTTTACTACATTCATATGCATCTTTAAGTAAAGGAAATTCTGTGGACAAATTTTCAAATCTATACCAACTTTTGATTAACAATTTGACAATATCATAATGCAGGGGGAACCTTCCCAATTCAGACAATACTGCAAAATTTGTACATGCATGCAGCACAAATGTTAGCTATGGAACATGATTTTTAAAAGCACTTCTTAATTTAAAAAGCAACATTTTATTTTTAAGAGGCTTCAAAACCATTTCCAAAACAGTTTTATTTTTTGAAATTGGTTGAAAAATGAAAAAGTTATGATAATTTTTGTGTTTTCATTTTTTAAATCTTGAAACAAAAAGTGTTGCCATTTTTTTAAAAAAATAAAATAGACAAAATCTACTGAGTTGTAAGTCTTTATTTAATGCAAAGTACTTTATGACAATTATATAAACAAAAAAATATGCATTAAGATTTTTTTCCCAGTGTATATCATCGTTTGAAAAATAAATATGATAGGGTCAGCAGAATTTTTAAGTCTGAACTGTGATAAACAATGTCTTTTCATTCTTGATAAATAAAATGTAAAAAAAAAAAAAAAAAAAAAAAAAAAAAAAAAAAAAAAAAAAAAAAACACTATGAGAAATATCAATTCATGTATTTAAAAACATGATATTTCTCCAGCTAGAGTTCTTTGATCAGAATTGCTAAAAAATAAAAAAAAAAATTATATCCCCCCCCCCCTTGGCAAAAAGAACGAACTGCAATATATACAATAAAAATGTATGAAAAAATTCTTACTAGGGTGAAAAAAGATTTTTTTTCAAGGATGATGATAACTTTGATGATGAAAAAGAATAGGCTTAAAGTTATGAAACTTAATATTATGATCAGAAATTGTGTAATCAAATCAGAAAGCCTCAGGAAGTAAAATATAAGTTAATGAATAGCAAGTGTAACTTCCACATTTTTCACATGCACATCAAACTCGCACACATTTTATTCTAGTATTAGAAAGTAACAAGAAAAGCTGAACTGGCTATACATCATAATTTTCAAAGAATATTGCATGAGGCCATTCCAAGTTTTTTCTATGTTTAGCGTCCGCGTGCGCTTTGGTTTTTGACACCCCATATCAGAAAAAACAAACAAAATCAGGAGTCCTAAAATCGGTTATTCTGGTCAAAATTTTTGAATTCTGTCAATTTCTATAAATTTTCGTCTACAATATGTCATATTAGGAATATTTAAAGCATTTAATATCTCGGTTTTGCTAAGAATAGATCTTTCAGTGAGGGAAATAGATTATCAAATCAAATCTTTTGAATGACGTCATTTTTACGACTATAAATTCTGTGTTTTATTTTTTTGGTTTGTGTGTTTTTTTGCGAATAGGTAGGTAGGTTTTTGAAAGATGGGTGGACGCTAAACAGAGAAAAAACTTGGAATGGCCTGAGGCAGAAAATGAGGATATGTTTACTGTCACCCATAAATTTATATTTTGGATTATTCATCATGTTCAAAAATTAAGTCTTGATACAATAATTATTCTTTCTCAATTCACTCGTACATTACACTGTTACACGTACCGTAGTTTCTCTCATTAACATGTGATCATGATGTACAAAGTTCTTCTTGTTTGTCTTGTCATTTTCTAAATTTAATTTGAGGACAGGTATTGTTGAAAGTTTTTTTTAATGAATAAAACAAATTGATCTAGTAATCAGCTGATTGGCGAGTTGGCTTGGGGTGGGATGGGGGGTGGGGATGCAATGATGTAAATTATCATTTTTGTGTGTTAATTTATGTATTTAGAATAAACTTTCTCTAATTTTTGAAACAAAAATTCCAGACATATGTTACGCTGAATATGCCACTCATATTGGTCTCGTTGTTGTACATCATTGCACTTTCACCTTACAAATTCAAAACAAACTACGAAATCAAAACACTAAATTATTTAAAGCAAGATATTCACATGATTTTATGACCTCTGGCCCTTCGCAATTTACTAAAATCCTACACACCCGTCACGTTTAATGCAAAGCAAAGGGCAAATAACCCTGTCAGGCAAAAATAGTCCATGTGATTGAACGTGATTTGGTGTTAAGTACAAGGATTTAAAATTATTATTAGACTGAATTCTTAGAGAAAACACGTTTTTATTTTAGAAAAATCAGGTTTCTAAGGTGTATATTCTGAAATTCATTTTTTCTCTTGAAACGAATATTTCATTATTATTTTTTTACCGCTAAAATGATGCAATTTATTTATTTTTATCCATATACACTTGCAGTAATACCTCACGAAGGTTTCCGAAAAACTTTTGTGATTGTATATATCGTCATCTTATTGTATCAGTCCGTAACACACGCCCACCTGATCATTTATTTTTTTGGCAACAGTAGTTTAGCAAATATTAGAGTTATCGCCCGTTGCTTTTCCGTCGCTACAAATGTATGTACACCTTGTCATGTACTGTTGTTGTAGAGCAAAACTTCCTCCCATAGTGAGCTCCCCCCCCCCCAATTCTTGCTCTAGAGTGAGCTTCCCCCCCCCCCCCCCCCCCAGGGAGAAGCCTCACTCTAGAGCCATACTCCCCCTCAAGAGCCATAACCCCCCTCCCCTCCCCCCCCCCCAAAAAAAAAAAAGTATTGAAAGAGAGTAAGTCTACTCAAGGAGAAGCCTCACTTTAGAGCCTTATTTCCCTCCACAAGAATTGCTTTAGTGATACTATCCCCTTTGGGGAAGGCCGACTTTAGGGCCATGTTTCCTCATTGCTCTAGAGTGAAACACCCCCTCCTTATCAAGATAAATTCTAAATTTGTGAAGTTTTTGGAAAGGAAAAGGAGGATATAAATTTTTAAGTTTTAAGTAATAGTGACTTGTGCAAATGCAAAAGTAATGCTCATGCTGTCTCATTAACTTTTAATTCATACTATATTAGACATATGAGTACAATGTTCTTATCTAAGCCATAAGAAATAATGATATAAAATTTCATTGCAAGAGCTTAAAGGTTTTTTTAGATATGGAACAGAAAGGAAAGTGTTACGTAAAGACAGAAAATCCGCTAGTTAGATGGACGAACAGACAAATGGACAGTCAGACCTAAATTAATATCCTCCACTTTCAGTGAAAGTGGGGCAATTAATGCACCACTGTAAAAGTTTAGTAACTAAATTATCCCTATAGAGTAATTGTAGTATAGTAAAAGCAAGATTAAAGGAAGGGGGAAGACCTGCTATGGGAGAAGTCTGACTATTAGTAGAGTAGATCTTCCTCCAGATAGTGTGGCTCTAGAGTGAAACTTCCCAGGAGGTCCTCCAGCTCTGGAGTCAGAATTCCCCCAGGGGGGAGTCTCCCTCTAGAGCCAGACTTCCAGGGAAAGTCTCACTCTGAAGAAATATGAATTATTTTTAACCGTTAAATCTTGATTCTTTATCAACTTTAGTAGTGCCACTTTCAGATTCTGCATAGCCCTTGTTTACTGCACATATTTCTTGTTTTTATAATACATCGTTAACTTGTTTCACCGTGGTGAAACAGCACTTGAATAATATACTCCTCAAGAAAATTTGTTCTCAGAAATATGCATGATACTGAACTTACATTGCAGTATTTCATAGTACAACCTAACAAAAGAAGGAATTGTTCGCATCCAAATCAGCTGCAAATAGAACCTGGATGCACTAACCTTTCTAGTTAATTAGCTCGACTGTGAATTGATTTTGATATGCATAAAATAATCACTGGCCCCAAGGACACGTGCTTTCTACAAAGCACTAGCCCAAATCCAAAATTTACTGGCCCCAGACCAGCGGGCCATCAATTATTTTGAGCACTGGTATAGGAATATTTATAATACTATAAATGTGTCAAAAATGGTGTATTTTTTTTACTCTCTTAAGCATAAATTTTAAGAATATTGTAAAATGAAATTTTTTTCCTGCACATGACAGTGTTCCCAATTCTCAAGGAGATCACTTAAGAACTGATGATAAACCCCGATATGACTGGGTTGACATCACAGATGAATTCATGTCATCAGCTTCAGAACTCCAAATGGGGGAACTTCTCCATGACACAGGGTAAGTTGTGATACCTCAACTACATCAGGGAACAAACTGAGACAAACTCCTTGATATGGGATAAGTTGTGGCATCTTACTTTCTAATTGACTCGTGACACCTTGGCTGGTATCAGATATCTAGATGCTAGATCTCCTAAATGATGCGGGGGGGGGGGGGGGGGGGGGTATATGTTGTAATCATTATGACATGTCATTTGCTAATCAGAGCTCCAGATGGGAGATCTCAAAAAAGTACATGCAGAGAAAATACATAGGATTTAGCTAAAATGCTTTACTCACTAATTATATAAACAGATTTGGATTGTTTGAAGCCATGTCAGCCATTGAGATGATGGATCCAAAGATGGATGCTGGTATGATGTGCAATCAGATACAGAGAAAAGTTCTGACCTTTGACCTGGCTTTAGAGGTACTTTAAAACACAATTATCATATGTATATGAGATACCATGTTGGATATAATGTATAGACAAGACATTTAATTTAGAAATCCAAGTATAGTCAGGCATACAAAAGAAAGCATGTAAAATCTTGCAGAGAAAATCAGATAATAACTAAGACATATAATTCTTGAATTATGTTATTTAATTTGTGTATTTTGTATTAAGACTGGAGATTCTGCATTCATTACAGAGTGGGGCCATTAAAATAAAAGACCTGACTATTCCAGAACTGATAGGTATCATGGACACATCCCTGGCTTGTTTGGTAAGCATTGTAGAGATGTGCTTGTATTGGAAGTGATGTTGATACATACATTACATTGTAGATCCCTTTATACCAGTTAACCATTATCACAGCACCGTGATTATTGATAATGGAAAAATATTTGCCAAATTTCATTAGAAAATGATTTTATCCTGTCCTGAATTCATTGAAAACTGATTTGTTACCTAGTTAGGATACTACATGTGCCATTAATTTTGATAAATGTAATTGCCTGATGATTTAGAATCATCCATTCAGAAAAATGACCAGAAAGAATAAAAGTACAATAGGGTATCAAATTTCTTGCATCTCACATTTCTGCTTACAGGCCACATGGTTGGAGGGTCATTCCTTGGCCCAGACAGTGTTTACCAATCTGTACCTACATAATCCCTATGTAATTGAGGACAAATGTTTAAAGGCATTCAGCATCCTAATGCTGAAACTAGTGGACCACATCAGGGACAGGGTGAATAGGGCTGGTGTCTTTGAAGAGGTGAGTATGATTTCTACTGAAATTAAACAGTTTTGATAGAATTAATGTCTTTGTTGTGAGTACATTGTATACTGTTAATTGTGAACTTCTAATATATCACACTGCAAGGGTCCATCTTGCATAAACATTTTAGGAACTGATCAGTTTTTAGCTCACATGAACCAAAGGTTCAAGTGAGCTTGTCTGATCACCTGTCATCCATCGTTTGTCTAGCAGATCTTCCACCCATCTGTAAACTTTTCATGTTTTGATTTTTCTCCAGAATCACTGGACCATTTTCAATCAAACTTACCTCAAAGCATTCTAGGGGGATGGGATTCAAGGTTGTTTAAATTAAGGGTCATGTCTTCTTTTAAGGGGATATAATGAAGAAAAGACAAAAATAGGATGCATTTCTTAAAATATCTTCTCAAAAAAAAAAACAGCTTGGACAGAAATTATGAAACTTATGTTAAGCCTGCTGATACAGTATAGATCCAAGTTTTTTTTTTTAATCATGACCCCTTGGGGCTAGGGTTGTGCCACAATGGGGGATCAAAATTTTACATGTCGATATGTAGGAAACATCTTTAAAAATCTTCTGAGGAAGAACTGTGCCATGGTTAGTCATATTAATATATAAGCATCCTCAGGTAGTTCATATTCATATTTGTTCAAATTATGACCCTAGGGCTAGGGTAGGGCTACAATGGAGGATAAAAATTTATACATGTGAATTTATACGAAAATTTATTTAAATTGAATTTATAAAAAAAAAAAGATCTTCTCAAGAACAAATGTCCCATAGTTATTCATATTAATATGTAAGTACATGTAGCGTAGATTCAAGTTTGTTTAAATCATGATCCCTGGGGGTAGGGTGGGGTCATAGTCAGGGGGGATCAACATTTTACATGTGAATATAAAGAGAAAAATCTTTAAAATTCTTCTCAAGGACAACTGTGCCATGGTTAATCATAGTAATACATGTATGTAATACAGATTCAAATTTGTTCAAACCCTGGCCCCTTGGGATAGCATAGAGTCACAGTCAGTGGGGTCACAACAGTAAGACCATGTTAGTCATACTGATGTTGAAGTATCCATATGTTGTGTGGATTCAAGTTCATTTAAATCATAACCCCTTTAGGCAAGGGTGGTGCCACAATAAATGGGTAAAAAAAATTTCATGGGAATAAAGAGAAAGAACTGGTTTTCTTTAATAATCTGCTGAAGAAAAGCAGGACCAAGGTGATTTAGATGGGCATTGTGGCCCATGGGCCTTTTTTTTTTTTTTTAAATTCTGAATGGCAGGAGTCCCTATATTAAAAAAACTATCTCATCATGTTCATATACATGCACCACTGCAGGTCTACATAACTAAATTTATGATGCCATTGCTTCATCTGACAATAGCAATGATGCTTCCAGTTGTAGTCTTTCATATTTTCTCTTCAACATTGCGATATATCATCAGTAAATAATCCTCACAGTTGTGGTGTGTGTATAGTAAAATATTTATTGACTTTAATTGGGTCAGTATAATCATTAACCTCAAAGGAAATTATCCACCTCATTCTTTAGTTTGATGAATAAAGTCTGTATTTCTGCATACAAAATTGCAATTTGAGGTGGAATCATATATTGAACTGCATTGGTAGACAAAAAAAAATCTCATGTAAAGTCATTTATAAGTCTGTTACATACCGGGTACATACTTAAAAGAAAATAATTGTATATGTGCATTTGTAGGAGGACTTTCAAAGTATGACATACGGTTTTAAGATGGCTGCTGATGTCACAGATACCAGAGCAACAGGGATGATGAAAGAAGTGGAGGATGACCTTAACAGAACTCTCAAGGTCAGTTTAGCAATCAAAAATATAATGTAGGCTGAAGAATCTTCAGCTTTTGGTCACTTTTTAAAATTTATATATTGAGACTTGGGAGTCTTAATTAGGTTTTGTTATTTTCATGATGTGGGCTTTAGAAAAATCATCAGTGTTTTTTAAAGACTGTAAGTTTACACTGTTAAATCGATTAGTGTTGAATGATGAACCTGTATTAGGGCAAGACTGAGCAAAGACTTGTCCTAGTGACCTCAGGATTGTCATACAGTTATCAACTCTACCTGAACCAATCAGTGCCAATATTACTGGTATAATATAATGTTTTTTCATTAGAAACATTGTTTGATGTAATGAAAGTTCATTAAAAAAACAGGTTTTTGAGAACTGTTTAACTTATTCATTTTCATAAGCATGAATAGAAGCAGTACAGTGTTAGCTTTCAGAAATGTAGTCATTTGCATCTCCATCATCATTTACACATAGTACTAGTGGGTATTTAAGACCATAGTTAGTCATAAGGGCAATTAATTAAGAAACCCACATTTTTCTTTGGTTGTAATATATTGATTTACATTGACTTACGTTTATCTTCAATATTATCATAAACTTGAAATTGCAAGACCCCCAAAAAATATTTACAGTGTATATATACTTAATAGCATGTTACAGTGACAACTTTATTTTAGCTATTGTATTTTATAAAGATATATCCATGTTTTTTACAAAGTTCAGTCAAATGAAATGAAGACAAAACAAAGTCCTGCAAAATTTTGTCATTTTTCTAGACATAGTAGTTTTATCTAAAAGTGGCCACAACCCTGTCTTTTGTGGGACATGGGAAAGATGATATTAATTAATTCTGCAGCTAAGAAACTCTCCAGTAGTACTGGTATGCTAATTAATTTTAAGTATGATATAGTTTGCAGTGAATTTTGCAGCAGCTTTATTGATTGTATTTGTAAACTCTTTAACAATCGGAATGACTGGCACATTGGAATTTCCAATTTTATGACCTAGCTAGTCAAATATGTTACAAAAAGGGGAAATTCCCTATCTAAAACAAAAAAACAAAAAAAATTTGATTGACAACCTTTTTTTTTACATACACATAAGCAATGATGCCTTGAAACATATTTTTTATCATCATTACATGTTCTTTTGTTTATTTCTATATTGGTTGATGGATGGTACAAGAAGCTTCCCAATACATAGAGAAAAAAAAAATTGCATGACCTTTTCCATCTAAACATGAAGGATAGGTAGAAGCCTCCTGATCTATCGTAACAATGCAAATTTGTTTGAAGTGTAATTTGTCAAATTCCCTTTTTCATGATGCAAATATCAATACTCCTAATGGCTAAAATAATTACGTATGATCTATTACATGCAACATTTTGCATCTGTAAATGAAGTGATGAATTCCAGTGCATGCTTATAATGATGATGTATATAGTTGTACCTCAGTTTAGATTAAGATCCATTTATTTGCACGTTTTTGAACATGAGATAAAAAAAAATACTTATGGAGAAAGATATTTTGCATTTTCTAAAAAGGGGGGTGTTTTGTTAAAATCTCTAAAAGTAGGAATTTTGGAAGTTTTAGTTTTGTCTATGTCAATTTTTTTCATTCATACACAGTTGAATACTTAAGTATTGCTTGTCTTTTTTTTTTTTATTTATTTCTGTGGACACCAAGAGGTCAACAGTCAACCAACTTATCAATATTACATGACTAGACTGAGATCATTTACTTTTGAAAATTCTTTTATTAAGTAATAAGATTTAAAGAAGAAATATAATTGGTACCTATCATGCTTATGATGTAGAGATGAGAGAGAGAGAAGAAATGTTTTGCTCAACTCCCAAAGGAAGAAAAATAAAGTCATGCATTTTTGCATAACATTGAGAATTTAATGAATTTAATGAATGATACAACTTACTGTAAAGTTATGTTTTTCTTAGCAATTTTGCTTTAGATGTTATTGTGAGAAAAAAGCTAATAAAAAAAACCCAGAAACAATGTGAAAAATTTTTACACTCAAGGAACAATGTACTCCTGGAAGTTGAAATTTTCCAAAATTTAAAGTTTTTAGAAAAAAATCATTCAATTATTAAAGAAATTCCCTGTTTTATGTTTCCTTTCTTTCTTTTTTCCTTTATGAATAGAAGATCCTGTGTGATGTCCTAGGGAGATTGAACATACGTTCAACTCCCAAAAATTGACAGAGTTACCTAATTTTGCAATAAAAAAATGTTGTGTCTTCAACATTTCATAAATTGTAGTTTCTCTGAAAGAGAAGTTGATAAGAGGCTTTGCATGAAACAAGAATTTTTTTGGCAACATTCGCAGTCTCCTCATTTGTTCTTCAGATGACTAGAAGTAAAGTGGGAGAGGAAAGAGATGCAGAGACGGAACAAGAGGTAAAACAAAACTCAGCTTACAGTTCTGTTTCTATATTTAACTCGGAATAAAATCTATGATTCTATCACTGAAATAAGTGCTTTTACAGGGAGATATTAAAAACTTAAAGGCTATATTTTCATGTATTTTTATTTTCTCCAATAGCATGAGAGGTGCAATGCCTTGTTTTCAAGAGTGAAGTTCTTCAGGCTGTTTTTTATGACTTTGTTATCATTCAGTAAAGAGAAGGTCAGTACCCACAAATGAAAGTTTCATAGCTGGAATTGCTGTTACTCTTGGAAACTTGTTTCCGCATGTTTAAAAAAAAAAGGAACAATTTCAATGTACATTTTCAATGATTGTAAAGTGTTCAAAAGATAATGTGTATTACAGAAATGAAAATCATATGTGCTCACTGTCAATCGTTTTCTTGATCTATTTTTAAAGTGTGAAGGAATTCCTCAGGCTCAGAAGTTGATTGGTCAGCTTCTAGAACTCTTGCCCACCATCAGGGACACCATTTGTATGGGCATTCAGCCAGATAATAAGGAAGTGGGCAAGAATGGTAGGTGAAAAATTTTAAGATTAGTTATGAAATATATGTCTGCATTCAAAACTTTTAAGTACAGTCTGACCTCATTATCTCGAACTCAATGGGACCAAGAAAAAAAAAAGTGAGATATCTGAGTATTCAAGATACTAAAGTTAAAATGCATAAAGAAGGAGTAGGTGCGACTTCCAATTGACTTCAAGATATCCATGGTATTAGAGATATTGGCGTTTGAGATAAGAAGTTCAATTGTACATTTATTTAGCTCGAGTTTACAGAATGGTTATAACATGTACGTTCATATACTGATCAGAAAAGTTTAGAGAACACTGTGAGAATTTGAGGACTGCAAGATGACAGAATTGATCATTTTCTGCCAAGCATATCTTATACTCTGTCACTGAAGGGCTTAGATAACTAACAAAGGATGCATGTACATGTATTAAGAAGTAGGGTTAAAACTGATTAAATTTTTGAGAAATTGCATATTGATGCAATATCATGTCTATATGTAGATTACCCAACCATCTTGGGTTTTGAGCCACTTGTCAATCAGAGATTGCTACCCCCCACGTTTCCCCGCTACACCGTGATTCGGAGTCGTGAGGAGGCCCTACACCACATCGAGGGTCTGCTGTACCGCCTCCAGATTGTTACCACTGTCCCAGAACTCACTACTTTCCATATCATCATGGTAAAGAGCTCTACCATTTTCTGATTCAGTTGCAGATCTGCCTGTATACCTGTATTTGTTCATCAGTGTGTTTTGATCACTATTTATGTGTATTTAGATTTGTAAAACTTGTACAGTGGTGAATTTAAGTACAGTCATACTTAAATCAGTATACTAGTTTAATATTGATACTTAATGCTAGTTTTCAATAAATTTGGCAAAACATTATTGAGAATTATACCAAAATTTAGTGCACTTGTTGAAAATATATTAAGTTTAATCAGAGAATACTTAAAGCCCTATAGACACACCAAGATATGTACATGGGTAGGATTTCATGGAAACATGTGGAACTCTGTGGTCAATGACTTATACCACAAAGATGTGATAGATTAAGAAGAGAATAGAGTTGATCATGCTGGAGATCCATGTATTTACTTGAATCAGTCATATTTTTCCCCAGGGAATTGATATGGTGTATCAACTGATTGACCAGTTAATGGCTACATGTATCTCTTTTCTATTTCAGGAAGCTTTTCAGGAGTTCAGTAAATCATCTCCTTGTGTTTTATCTAGGTCCATTTTACAGGTCAGTATCCCCGGTCAACATATTGAACTAGTTCCTCATCATTGGTTAGTGTATGTCTGGAAAAAAATCAAAACAATTTATTTATGGGCAATTCCAGTTTAAAGTATTGCATAGCATAACAGTTAATTCCAATCATGATTATTAATGGGACAGTAATGGCAAATAAATAATACATGTGTAAATAAATTTTGTACATATTATTAATTTACAATAATATGAAAGCATAAATTAGTCTTAATTAATTGAGTTTAGATGATGCCATCTTTTTTTTCTGTAGTTAACACTGCTTCCTTTGAACAAACGAGTGTTTGGTGTACACACCATGGTGGATTTCCTGAAAGACACAATCAGGAACTTCATTGCACCTCCAGTGCTGAGTCAAAAGTGAGATTTGTGTTGTACTTTTCCATATTTCCACATGAAATAAACAAGAAACCTTTGTTGAAATATGCATAAAATCTAATTGAGGATTGCAGTCACAAGTTTTTTCAAATCAATGGGATATGATAGTTACCACTTTATAATTGAAAATTCTTTGGTTTGGCCAAGAGCAGTGTTGCAAAACTGGACCAAACCTACTATCAGTTTTCAAAAAAAAAAAATTAATAATACAGTAAAACTTCTCTAATCCGAACCCACTGGTTCCATAGAAATTGGTCGAATTAAACAGTATTCCTGATTACACTTGTCAACATTTTAAACAATTGAAATCCCTGAAAGGGACTGAATTAAAGTTCAAATTATGTCATTTGTATCTTACTTTAAAAAGTGCAACTAGTTATGCATCTTATTGACAGATTTTTATATAATATATCACGACAAATCATTCAAATATTTAAAAATTGTACTCAGATTTTATTGATGGATAGTTATTTATTCTACAGATGTAAGAGGAGAATTCTGAAATTGTTTTTTTCTGCTTAACAGGTCAGCACTCTACAATAACGCCCAGGCCAAGCAGTATGTGGACGCTTGGTTTGTACAGACTGTTTGCCCATTTACTGCCCTTGTCCAGATAACTGGGCACAACCGGGCACGACAGAGGGATAAATGGGCACACATTCTTGAAGATCTGTCTGCACTACAAGAGGAGGTGTGATTATTTGCTGAAGTGCATTTTTTTTTTTGCTCTGAGTTGTCAAAATTTCAGTCAGAGATAATATTTCAGATTTTGATTGATTTTTACTTGGAAATATCACACTTAACACCTTTTTAATGGGTTTATTCTGTTAAAATGTTATCTTACATATTTCAAATCAGGACACTGTGTATGATATATAATTTTATTTACCCTTCACCTAATTTTTAAGAAGTTTAAAAATTCAAATATTGATCATTATTTTAAAAGAGACCATTTTATTGATGGTCTGCAGTTCTTTAAGCAACAGGTGGCAGGTGAACAGAAATGTGATGTATTATTTGACCTCAGTGCTGACACCTCCTATGGAAATTGAGATATTTTTGGCCTGATACATTGGCATCGGTGTTTATTTCTTTGAATTTCTACCAATATGCTATCCTGCAATGAGGGAGGAAGCAAAATTTAATTTAATTTTATTATTATCTGGTCAATTTTGAATTTCATACTTGTAACAAATTGCCAGGGATGGACGATTTTGCTTCGTTATAAGTGTATTCGTTATATCCGTAAAGTCTACAATATATTTTAAAGTCAAGGGGAATGAAAACCACTTCACTGTAAGCATCAATTCCTTATAAGCATGTTTGCTGTAAGTGTGTTTTACTGTATCACTTGATAGCAGTAAACTGTGCTTATACTTACATATTTATCTACCTGATTAATTTCTTTTTTTATTGATATAGATCATAAGACTAATTTAGTATTTGTTAATAGTTTTATTTATAAAGTTAAAATGAAAGAAAAAGTATACAATTTAAGCATTTGACCAGATTTCAAATTGAATCAGAGTAGCCTCCCTTCCACTGTCCACACATTACATTGGTTATCAAATTTCATACCCCTTAGAAATGTATTTTACCTAACAGGCAGACAAAGTGGATGCTTGCCTCCATCAGATTCTGATAAAGATGGAGCCTAATCGCCAACACATTGCCTGCCTAGGGAATTGGGTCCTGTACCACACTCTGCAGGCCATGATCAGCTACCTGCTAGCTGGGTTTGAGCTGGAGTTGTATGCTACTTATGAGTATCACTATGTTTACTGGTAAGTTTTGTCTACTTGTCACTGTTTTAAATTTATTTAAGGTGATTGCTGATCACGTTTGAATTGTTCAGTCATGTGTAAGACAAAAAAATGTCCAATTATTAAGTACAGTCAAACCTTGTTATCTCAAACCTGATGGGACTGAGAAAAATCTACAAGATATCGGAGGGTTCGAGATATTCAGGGTAGAATACTTAAGGATAAGCTATTGGGACTTGAAAATCACTTCGACATATCCATGGTATTTGAGATATCAGTGTTCGAGATACCAAAGATCGACTGTAGTGTTAGAGACAAATTTTGGATATTTTTTTGCTTGAACAGTTGGACAGTTATACAGTAAATTAAACAAGTTCTTTTAATTTTCTTACGAATTTCTTAATTTTTGAAAGCAAGTGTAATTTAAACCTGAATTTCTTCTTAACTTTACTAATATTCCTGTAATTACCATCTCTTAACTAGATGCACATTCATATTTTATTTTTGCCCTCCACTGTAGGTATCTGTATGAAATGTTATTCTCCTGGTTGATCAACACTCTACACAGAGCGGACAACTTCTTGTTAGAAAATGAAACCATGGCAGGTAAAGTACCATTTCAGAGCATGTTGTAACATTTACCAGAATTACTTTCTTTATGATTGATATTTTCAAACTTGCTTTCATGTTGCACTTATTTTTGACTCTTTGACCTTAGAAAAAATTTAAAATGTAATACCTACATGTGAAAAACTGATCGATCCTCAGAGAAATGCATTTTCAAAGAGTGTGTAATTTAAAGAGTGTCATATAAATTTAGTGTCTCCATTTTTTGGTATACAAATTTAAAAATATTTATGATAAATGGATAGTTGTGTCAAATAAATAACCCTATAAGATGGAAATAAAGAAAAGATTTATGCATCTATTGAAGTTACACGGAGTAAATTTACATTCATCAAAATTCTGAGTCATGTCTTGCAGTTCAGATTAATTTATATTTTATATCCTATATACATATATTTAACACGTAGGCATTATATAACACCAAAAAAATAGATGTCTGTTAATGGGAGCAGACAGTCAATGACCTGTCTTCATGACATTTCATAGGTTAATTGAAGGAGATCTTTGAAAAATAAGTTTTTGAGATAAAAAAAAAAGACTTACAGTCCAGGCCCTGGGATCATGAAACAGACTTAGACTTACATTTAAGTCAAAATTTACATCATTTAAGTGCAATTTATAGATTCTGACTTAAGCTCAAGATGTTTCATGATCCCAGAGCTAATTGTTTCGGGGTCCCAGAGCCAGATCTCTCTCTTTTTTTAAACCTGAAAGTCAGTTATAATTACAGTCTTAATTGATAGATTTAAAATTTTAGAGCCCTTTGATTGTCAAATGACTGTAAAGTGGGAATTCACACTTCATTGTGCAATTTTAACATTTTTTATGTTTTTAATGCTAATGACATCATACAACGCCGGATTTTCCTTTCGTTATCTTTGAAAGGAATGTCAATTAAAACCACTATTTTCCAAGTATTTTTTACTGTAGATGATACATGTACTGTCAACATGTTTTCACTTCAAATTCATATCCTTTTGTATTTCATACATACATGTATGTCAAAATCATTTAATTTTATATCGAATTCAAAAGAACTTATCTGCAACTCCTCCTATACCACAGAAAAAAAATTTAACGACGTTCAAGGAACCTTATTTACAAAGTGCCATTGTGTACCTCCTGTTTTTATGTTTCGCATGGGGTTTTCCGTAACAAAACATGGACACTGCCATTCTTTCTGTAATACTTGGGGTACCCATTTCTTATCTGCAATTCCTCCTAGACCACTGAATAAAATTTAATGACACTTTTACAGAATCTTTATTACATAATGCTGTCATGCATGTTCTATTTAATATTTTGAATGGATAGATATTTGGGGTTTAATTCCCATTGCAAAACATGGACTTTGTCATTATACTCATTTAGTATTGAAGGGGGGGGGGTATCATTACTAATACCTGTAGTATTCATTGACATACATGTAAATGCCTAAAATTTCCTGGAACAATTAATTTATTGAATGGAAATTTAATAATTTTATGTGGAAAACTCAAGAGGAATGGGAAGAATATTACGGTAGACCCCCATCCCCAACACACAAACCCCAATCTTCTCAATCTTTAATATATGTATGGTTTATTGCATATACAGATAGCCAACAGAAGGGGAGAAGTAACAAGAAAAACAAGAAAAGAAAGAGAATCAAAACACTGAACAAAGAGATTACCCTTGCTCAGGCTGGACAGCAGATGTTTGGCGGGTATTATAAGGTGATAGGACTTTGTGATTTGGACATTGCAAAAAGAGACTATTAGAAGTCAGAATATATTTCAGTGGGAACACTATAATAAGGAAAAATTGGTTTAATGTATTTTTTTTGCATTCATTCTGGAATGCCAACCTGTCAAATTTTTAATAAAAACCAAAATACATGTACATGTAATTGTTACTGTATGAAACCTAATTATTGTTGATGATTTTGATATCAAACACAAATTTTCCTCTTTTAGGCTGTGATGGGATTTCATTTGGATGGTAAGATGCAGCAGCCAGAATTTCAGTTTGACAATGAGGAGGTCCGATACTCACATCGCTTTCAACCCTTTACCAATGTTTCAACGCCTCCATATATACACTATACTCAGTACAAGGTAAACTATTTGAGGAATTAAGTGCTTGAATTTGTTATTTGTTTGAATAATAATACATATGTTTGATAAAAGATTTGATAAATTTATGCAGAATGTTTTTTTTTTAAATATACAGTCACATACAACTCTTGTACAAAAGTACATGAATCTGAAATGTTAACACCAGTAAATTTTATACAGAAAATAAAGTGTTTACTGTTACTTCATAACAATTTACTATGTATATTTTAGGAGATGTCTGATCTGAAGCGATATGAACCAGATGCCACTGCTATTAATCTGTATGGGGCTTCCTGTAAATGTTTCCATCAGGCTAAAGTTTTACTGGAGAGCTTCCACAATCCCTCTGATGAGGTACAGCTATCTAGTCTATCCCCCCCCCCCCCCCCCAAAAAAAAATAAGTCATTAGAGTTTGTATGCACCATTCCTTACCTTCTGAGATTAACATTTTATTTATTAAAGATAAGGTAACCCACACATGTATATATGCTGATTAGTTATTACCATATTGTCTTAATTGGACAATCAAATCTTGATCTCTAGAGAAGAAATGGAGCACCCAAGTGCAGGACTAGATAGTAGTGGTTGTGAATTATTTTTTTATGTTTTTTAAATTTTTTAATGAATATATGTGAATTATTTTTCTGCATACTTATTTTTAGAGATTCAAATTTTTCTATATAATGTTTATGTAGACATTTATATGTATACAATGTTTATTTGGTACATGTATAAATATTGTTATCCTTGCATGAATGCGTGTTTCATACTTTCATAGATTTATTTTTTTGCATTTGTCCATAAATTAGGTCTCGTGTGATAATTTGTAAGCTTTTAAAAGTTGCCAAATTATGATTCTCACACATTCTTCATGCATTATGGTCACTTTTAAGATGATGACAATTGTAGCTGAAGTTCTCAAATAGTCTCATTACTATTTCAGGTACAAGCAATGATCAAGGTGGCTAAAGTAAATTTTGTAGTGATGAAAATTTTAATGGGAGGGCACAAGCAAGATTCACAGGTGAAAAATCTGTTTTGTGTTCTTGACAGTTTGGTAATATGAATAATACATATATTTTGATTATTTATATGCACAGGAGTTTTCTATCAATTCTTGCACTGTAAAAACCTTAAAAAGTCAAAGCTTTTCACATTAATTTTGTTCATTACGGATTATAAATTATATTAACAGAAATGTACACCATATCAAAATATAATTTTTTATTAAATTTTTTTAAGGATCCTCCAATATTTGACTTCTCTATACACCCAGTATATCCAACTATTAAGATGGTGTAGCAGGTCAAAAGATTCCCCCCTAGTCATGTGACAGGAAGTCTGATGTCAGAGAGAAGTAGGAAGTGAGTTATGGTGGGAAACTGTAGGAGGAATTCCATTGACATTTATTGTGTGTTTTGTGGTGAACATGAGTGAATGATAGTGTGTAAAGTAATAAAAGATGGCAATGAATCTGTCTGAGTGTTCTGTTGTTAATGATTACAGATTTGTAAATATAATAGGTAACATTGGAGTACTGAATCATATTGATTCAAAACCACCAGCGGAAGATTAAAATATAGACATAAAATAGAAAAAACCTGGTATTGTTTGACTTGACTAAAGTACATAAGAATATGCTGTTCAGAAAATGAACTTACCTAAATCAAACCTTTTACTTTATACAGGTAAATACTATGCTAGTTTCTACGTTTTGATAAAAAAGCATTTTTAATTGATTTGAACAATAATATTATGAATATTATCGGCATTGTATGTGATACCATAGCCCTAATTTTTATTTACATGTAGGTGTAAAGTGAAATGAATCCTCGGAAACGTAATATTAAAGGTGCTAGGCGTGCCCCCGATTAAGAAGTGAGATTGATACCCCTCTAATGACAGATAATCATGCGCGGGTTTCGTAATCAAAACTTTATTGACCTTGAGTTGGCCAAGATGAATCAAGATGAATGAATAACTTTTATCTTGATTCTTATATATATATATATATATATATATATATATATATATATATATATATATATATATATATATATTAATAGGATTAGCTATAAAAATCATATTAACTGATTCCTTTGCAATAAATCACGTGCATTATAGATGTACTTTGTTAGAAAAGCTGCAAGTTTATGATGTATTTCTGTTTAAAAAGTAATTGAAAATTGTCATTCAAATTGACATTCAAACCCCACCCCCACCCCCCCCCCCCCATTGTACGTGTTCTGGAACGTTATTGTAAACAAAAAAAAATCGCTTAAAAAAGAGTGGGAATGCTGCCCCTTTCAGAATTGTTCCTGTCCTACCACAACCTTTGACTTGATAATAAAATTTGGTATTATATTAGACGTAACTTTGACTTGGTGATAAAATTTGGTGTCATATAAGATATAACATCAAATAAAATTTTTTGGGTGAACATAAAACTCGAAAGTTCTCTGATAATTTTTTTTAAAAAAAGTCTCTATAGAGACTTGATTTTGCACTTTGTCATTGCTTTAGCAAACTTGGATTTTGTAATGACATTAATTCTGATATTTTAACAAAGATAAATTTGGGATTGTAGAATTTAAGGTGTGACAATAGATTTGAATAAAATGTTTCGCGACAGATAATTTGAGAAATACATATAATACCGTGTTATTTTTAAATTATTGGAAAACCCACTTCACAACAACGTTTGAATTGATAGGCTCGCGTCACTTATTCGGACATTGCGTACAAATGTACGAATAAATTTTTGCGCAAGCTCATTCAAGAATGTGTCGGAAACATGCACCAAAATCATGATGATGCAATTTAACTACAGGTTTAAAAAAAAAAAAAAGAGAAATAAAATCTTGGTTTAAAACTCAATTTTAGAGATAATGCAAGTAATTTTAGATAAACCCCACTATGATACGGTATACATGTATTGCGGTGGTATATTTAGGACATGCAAATTTTTTTTTTCCTTCTTATGTTGGAAAATATGTCGATCGACTTATTATCTTGTTTGCATGACTTATTATGTCGTTTGTACGACGTAATACCTCGTTCGAATGACTTATCTCGTTCGCACGACTCATTATCTCGTTGGCACTACATGTACTTAATGTTTGGTTCGCACGGCATAATATCTCGTTCAAACAAAATTTTCTCTCCAGTGTACCCATCTTTCTCATTAACCAGAAAATGTACCACGCACAAAATACCCTGAACCCCCCCCCCCCCGAAAAAAAATACGCAGAGATATTATTCAGAAACTTACTGTGCATATGAGGTTGCATCTAAAAATCTTTTCATCGAGGAATCGTTTGCTTCTTAGCAACATTTGCTGGCTTAATAAATATAATTTTTAAAATAATTTTCGAACAATTTGGAGTTGTGACACGTCTGAATTTTGCGTCTATTTGAACGTGTTCTATAATTGGGGAATCTTTTCTTTATTTTGGGGAAAACTCGCTTGTTGTGATTGTACTCCTTGATATCAGCTCTAAAGTAGTCATAACAATAAAGTTTATATTTAATAGAATTTGTAGAAAGACAGTTGGAAACTATCGGCTAAGTATGAAATACAAGGAGTCAGTGACTCTCTGTGTTCAATATTATTATCATTTTTAGGAATTTTTTCACATAACCGGCTGGTATATCGTTTTATTTCAAGTCCCCGTTTTTGACACCGTTCCATCACGTTCCTTTTACCTTTTCTTAATGCTAATTAATGAATACGAAATTATTGAGCTTCAGTGATTTTTTTCAAAACATTATACGATTTGGATATATTTATTCTATATCGGTTATAATACACGTACGTATATAGTTTATTACGACGCTTTTATCAGAAATGATCGATCGATTTTTCGGTTTAGTATAAATATGAATTACAAGAGAAATGTATACTTATGTATACTTCATCAAACAAAGTGCCTATCTATAGCTCAAGTCAATTACAATTATTCAAACAGACTAATTTTACAGAATAAACTTTTTCAAAGGAAAAAAAGACTAATTTACCAGTTTACATGAAAAAGTCAATACCAACGATAATTAGTTTCCAATTACAAAAGGTTCTTTACAATTAATCTCACATACGACATGCTAGAAACGGAGGAGAAGTGAAGATCGGAAGTTATAATAAATCTCAGTTATTTTATACAATGAAATAGCAGATTAAGGTACCATCAGTTGGAGTTTGTTTCTTTTGGAATCTTTTTTTTTTCCTTACGAAACAACATTCCCCTCAATTTTTTTAATGTCTCTATATGAGTAAAAAATTCTCGAATACGTACATTTCTTCTCCTGGCAGAACCATATCAGATTCGCAGACGAACTTTACATCGTCTCTCCCACCCCCTTCCCACATATAAAGAACTGTTAGAGGAATATGTTCATTGTTAAATTTCTGGCAACGAATGTTTCATTAATCTAGACCACTGGGTAGCCCAGCTGACCCATTCCTATCTTTTTTGTCCGTTGTGATAACCTTTTACTCATTTTCAACTATTTCTCCAGAATTACTAAACTATTTTCAACCAAATTTACTGTAAACGAAAAGGCTATGCCCTTGTCTAAATCTAATTTATTTAATTGAGAGATAGTGAAAATAGATTGTGTCATTTAAAGACCTGAGTTAAACATGACAAGAACTTCTAAGCTTTCTTAAGAGCTCAATATACAAGATTTTCAAGAGACCTCCACCCCCAAAAATAAATTAAGGAACTTTGATTTTTTTCCCTTGGAAATATATGACTTATAAAATAATGTACTTTTCAAATTGTACATGTATCTGTTCATGCAAGTAAAATTTGATAAAATTGGAAACTTTTAGTATAACTTTAGACTTTCGAGCGTAGATCAAAATCCTGGACAATTAATATATATAAATTAAAATCATCGGAGGAAAAGAAAAACTAGATATGTAAGGCAAAATAAATAGAGTGTAAAAAGGAAATTAATATAATCAACGTACTTCACTATTTATAAAATGCAAAACTGTTCAACCTTACTTTTATGGCATTGCCAGTCTTCAATGCATCTTGGCCTTAATTAATATACGCATTCGTAATTTGTCAGAAATTTGGAAAACGTGTTTACTATAAACCATCGCCTTCCTTTAGTAATTTTCATTCGTAACTTGAAAATCAATACCAAAAAAAGCTTTATGTTTAAATGTAATTTTGTCTAAATTAACTATTTTCTTTTCTTTTTTTTTAACCTCCGATGATTTTAATTTATGTATATTTGTCCCGGCTTTTGATTTACGATTGAAAGACTAAAATTATAGTAAAAGTTTCCAATTTAGTCAAGACAAAATGAGTGTTCACCAGTCTTTCTTCTATATGACCTTCCACGAATTTTTGCTTGATATTAAAATGGTGTTATATTAGTCATAAAGCGAAACTTATTTCTAAAAAAAAGTTGTGGGAGGACACATTCCTCAATTTCCACACAAAGCAGAGAGGAAGAAAACTGTTCCGAAAAAAAGTTTGCACACATTTGATTTTCAAGGCCAATGAAATTTAATAATTTGCATTTCATCATTGCTTTTTGAGAAAAAAAAACAATATTATAATTTCATGATGAGATTTATTTTAGTGTTTTATTGAGAAAGATTAATTGTGGAATTCAGAAAGTTAGGTGTGATAACAGATTTGCATAAAACGATCTGCGACATTAAAGACGTAGAGATATACATGTACCATGTTTTTTATTTTTAGATTATTGGAAAACCCACGTCAAACCACAATTTGTGTTAACAATTCGAACATCGCGTACTAAATGTATGAATAAAATTTGAAAACATGCTCATCAAAGATTGTATTAGAGGCATGCATCACATTTATAGTGATGCAATTGAAAGTAAAAAAAAAAGAAAAGAAAAAATAAATCAAAAGTTCTTATAAAGTGCATTCTTCAACAAGAATTCTCAGAGAGAAAAGATACCTGATCAGAATGCTAGCCCCCTCCCCCGAAATACGTACGAGATGTCCATGTTCCGAAGCTAGCAATATATCTCGAATTTATTGTCCCTCCTAGAAGACATCACTATGAAAGTGATTGCCAGTATCTTTGTACAATAATAGAATTTTGGAATTTGTTTTAGAAGTATTTTTGTCTACTAAATATGACCTGTTGTAATCTCAATTATTAGTCATGTATGGAAGAAGCTAAACGGGATTCAACTTGATTGTAGACATGTACATGTACATGTATTCACATGACTATACTCATGGTTGTAACTATCGTTTCCGATGATGGTCTATGAATTAAATTTACCAACTATTTTCAATATATTAGGTGGAGGTCGTAATAATGTGCGTGTATTCTGAAAGGAAAGTGATAGTTAAAGTTGATATAGGTAACTCAGTTATATGTCCAATTCTTTTGAACAATTCAAGCCAGCTCCTATTCGTGATCATTGTTAAAAGTAACTGAAAACATGACTCATTAAAACAAACTTATTTGGAGATTCGG